TATTAGATCTTTCAACGAAACTAAAAGCGCTTAATCAAGTGCAACGTAATCCTTACAAATTTGGTGCATTCTCATTCACGCACATTTTCAACCTCCTGTCATTACCCAGAAGTTTCAACCCATTTTAGACTTTCGCTGAATCATGGGGATGAGGACTCACCGGTGCTAACTCACCATACCCGGCTATTTTCTCATTTTGTAAAGCGCAGAGCAAATCCGCACTCTCTCCTTACCCGAGAGCACGATAAGTGCAACTCTGTGAACTCTTCAAACAACACGCCCTTCATCATGGCATCTGAAGATACGGCCTCAGATAACCGAGAGGTCGATAAAGCAGCACTCCTTGATCGGATGGTTGCTGCTGCACAACAAAGTGCATCTCAAAATGACGACGACAAAGAAGAGAAACTGAATACCGAAGGTCTCAATGAGGAAGATGCGCTGCGCAATTTGACCGGCACCGTAAGAGATCAAAATGACCTTGAACGCGACATCACACTCCAGGCCAACGCTGCACTCAATGAAGCTGAGGATAAGAAGGATCAAAACCGTATCGAAAAATTGGAAGCCACGAAGCATCGGCTTCAGCTTCAACTAGACAAAGAGAAGAAGCGCTTGGAGAAAGTCGCTCCTAGTAATGTCTACCAAACTCGAAATATCCAGAAGGAAATCGCAAAACTGGATGAAGAAATTAGACAAGTTAGCAACGACATATCTGATTTCCAGGCACGAATAAAGAAGCGTCATGAAGAAAGCTCTGTGGATGACTCAACCAAATCCAAATCTACCAGGCTTCCTGGTGAAAGCCACCGTGACTTTCTGATTCGAACCGGAAAGATCACACCATTTGCCAAGATTGGAGGACCACGACCTGCAGGAATTCAGGGCCAACTCGCGGATACAATTTTGGACGCAGAAGAAGAGGCAGCAGCGGAACAGCTTGGAGGAGAACTTGAAGGGCCTGCTTCACATCAACGACTTCGCCGACCTGGATTTGCTGATGAGCTTGATTCGGAACCTGAGCCCACTCGACCAGCCCCGGCTGTTGAGAGTGAGTTTTCGTTAAGGCCGAGGAAAAAACGTCGCGTTCAAAAGGAGCGTAGCCCGTCTGCAGATTTTGAACCCGAAGCATCCGGTTCTGAATCACACGATGACGATGTCTGGAAGCAAGGGAACGAGGACGATCTAATTAGAGAGCAACGCCGCCAGAACAAAGCCAAGGCTAAGGCTGCCGATCAAGAGCAGATCGATCTTAGTAAGATCGACGATGGTAATGAAGCCCATTTCAAGGCCCGATTGAACGACTGGGTGACCCGAAGAAGTCGTGCACGGAGGGCTCGGAGGCAAGCAGTCGACGTGTCTGCTGATGCAGGAGAAAGCGATGATGAAGAAGAAGAATGGTTCAAACCGGCTCCTGATTTTCCCGACTACAACTTCGGTGATGATTTGAAACTCCCTGGAGATATTCACCCGTCACTCTTCGGATACCAAAAGACAGGTGTACAATGGCTTGCCGAACTTTATAAGCAGAACGTCGGAGGAATCATTGGTGATGAGATGGGTCTAGGAAAGACTGTGCAGCTGATTGCCTTCATCGCCGCTCTTCACTACAGCAAAAAGCTTCGACGCCCTGTCATTGTTGTTGCTCCTGCTACGCTCCTGCGACAATGGGTAAGTGAATTTCATCGATGGTGGCCACCACTTCGTGTGTCCATCTTGCACGCTTCTGGCAGTGGTATGATGAACCCCAAGTTCGAAGATGAGTACGATCTGGATCACTTCCAGCCCTTGGCCACCAAGTCGGAGAAGGCTGCTCAAAAAATTGTCAACGGAGTCGTCAAGAGTGGACATGTCTTGGTAACGACATACACTGGCCTTCAGACATATGCCGAGACATTGCTGCCAGTTCAATGGGACTACGCAGTTTTGGACGAAGGACACAAGATTCGCAACCCAAACGCCGAGATTACTGTTACTTGCAAAGAGCTCAACACGCCGAATCGCGTTATCCTCTCAGGAACACCAGTCCAGAACAACCTGACCGAGCTGTGGTCGCTCTTCGATTTTATCTATCCTATGCGGTTGGGAACCCTCGTCAATTTCAGAGCACAATTCGAGATCCCGATTCGTCAAGGTGGTTATGCCAACGCATCTAATCTGCAGGTCATGACGGCAGAGAAATGCGCGGAAGCATTGAAAGAAACCATTGGAGAATATCTACTTCAGCGCCTAAAGGTCGATGTCGCTGCCGATCTTCCGGAAAAGACGGAGCAAGTGTTGTTTTGCAAATTGACTGACGGTCAACATAAGGCGTATGAGACTTTCATCAAGTCGGATGAGGTCTCGGCCATCTTGAATCGAAGACGACAATCACTTTACGGCATTGACATATTACGCAAAATCTGCAATCACCCAGATCTGCTAGACAAGACTCTAGGAAAGAAGGCTGGCTACGATTTTGGGAACCCTAAGCTATCTGCAAAACTGCAGCTCACAAAAGATCTGCTACAAAAGGTCATGATCCCCAATGGACACAAGACGCTCCTCTTCTCACAAGGTAAACAAATGTTGAACATTATCGAGAAGTGCATCAGCGAATGTGGAATCTCTTACGTGCGAATGGATGGAGAGACACCCGTGGACCAGCGTCAGCCAATGATTGACAGATTCAACGAAAGCCCGGATATTCATGTCTTCCTCATGACAACTCGCACTGGAGGATTAGGAACTAACCTCACTGGTGCTGACCGAATCATCATCTTTGACCCTGACTGGAACCCTTCAACAGATCTCCAAGCTCGAGAAAGAGCATGGAGACTTGGTCAGAAGAAGCCGGTAAAAATCTACAGACTTATGACGGAAGGAACCATTGAAGAGAAGATATATCATCGCCAGATTTTCAAGCAGTTCATGACGAACAAAGTCCTGAAGGATCCAAAGCAGCGTAGCAGTTATGACCTGTCAGACCTCTACGATCTCTTCAGTTACAACACAGGGGAAGACGCGAGTGCTAACCGAAGTGAGCTCTTCAAGAAGGCAGAAGTTGAACTGAAAAATGGCGATGGCGAACAGGAGCAAACGTCAGAACCAGCTCAGAATGTGGCAGGCGAAGCAGACATGGAGAGCAGAGAGCTCCGGCAGATGGGACTGGTAGCTGCTATGGAAGACTTCAGAGAAGATAAGTCTGTCCATGATGAGAGGCGCATGTTGGAGGGTATCTTCGCAAAGTCAGTCAACAATGCCTACGACCACGAGGCTATTGTAAACGGGCCCCAGAAAGCAAAGGCGGACATTTCTGTCCTGCAACAAGAAGCAAATATGGTAGCTCGCCAAGCTGTAGCACACCTCCGCCAAGCTGGCGCAGAGGCGCGAAGAGTTCCCATAGGCACTGTTACGTGGACTGGTGAGGTCGGGCAAGCTGGCCGTCCTGGGGCTAACCGTCGCCGTGGAGGGCCAAGCTCAGCAGGCATCATGAGTAACTTGGCAGACCGTCAAGGTCTTGATACGGGGAGTGGGAGAAGTTCTCGTTCAGGAACTCCCGGCGCAGACAAGAATTTGAAGTCTAAAGACTTTGTGGCCATGATCAAAACATTCATCAACCGCCACAACGGTCGAGTCCCCAGCAAGATGTTAGTAGACCACTTCAACCCCTACTGCCCTGGCAAGAAGCAGAGCGACGAGTTCAAAGCTGCTTTAGACAAGGTTGCAGTATTGAACAAAACTGGAGGTGCCGGTAGGGGAATCTGGACACTCAAGCCAGGTGTAAAATAGTCAGGGATGGATAAGGCATGATTTGGCGAGGAGTTCTGGAGGCATCAAGATCACATATACTAGACATAGCGGCTTGTAAATATATGAAATTGCTTTTATCTCACATCATAATACATCTTCAACCGTAAAGCTGCAGGGCATCACATCATGGAACAAATCTGACAAGCAGGATGATTCATAGGCCTTCTTCGGGCGAATTCATAACTGTCTACTGCGTCCTAACCCATAACCTGACCAGGCTCTGCAGTGTAGACTGGAGACCAGGCGAAAAAGCCGTTCTCCTCGTGATTCTCAACGCCACAGAGAAACCAGATAGCGAAACTCCTGTCCGATCCAAGCCACCCATGTGCGAGCAGCTCAGAGACGACGACCACGGCGACCACCCTTTCTGCGGGTAGAGTCGGAAGGAGTAGGGGTAACGTCCTCAATTCGGCCGATCTTCATGCCAGCACGGGCAAGGGCACGGAGAGCAGACTGGGCACCGGGACCGGGGGTCTTGGTACCGTTACCTGGATGTGGATTAGAATGACTGTCTGAGTGAGGGGCACTCAATTGAACCTACCACCAGTGGCACGGATCTTGATGTGAAGAGCGTTGATGCCAAGCTCCTTGCAGCGGGCAGCGACGTCCTGGGCAGCCAGCATGGCAGCGTAGGGGGAGGACTCGTCACGGTCGGCCTTGACCTTCATACCACCAGTAACACGGGTGATGGTCTCACGGCCACTGGAATCACCCAAGTTAGCCTCCTTGAACCATATAATAGGTTTTCCTCCAATTTCATGTTCCTTATTCACGGGCTGACGAACCTCAGATCGGTGACGTGGACGAAGGTATCGTTGAAGGAGGCGAAGATACGGGCAACGCCGAAGACCAGCTCGCCTATTCAAACATTGTCGTTAGTTCATGATTTCTTCCTCAATCGCTCGAAATTCGTCCAAGGGTGGTCGCATACCATCGCGAACGGAGGGTCCGAGGGAGATGTTCTCCTGGGGAGCGCGGGTGGTGGTCTTCTTGGGAGCCATTTTGAAGGGATGGGCGACTGCTGGTTATTTCGTCACTTGGCGGTTGAGAATGAGGATCTCCAAAAGTATTTGGATGCGCCGCACCAAAAATTCGGTGGACGAGTGCCGCGAGGGCGGTGGGGCGTGGCAGAATTGGCAGTTCTGGACAAACCCTACGGTTGGCCCCACCGGAAATTTCGCCTGAAAATTTCTCTCAGCAAAAAGGCTGCCGCTCCTTTCTTCAACCCACGCTTCCGACCGACAACCACTAACCGACCTCTCCAACAGCCGTCGCCGACAAAATGGGTGCTACGTATGTGACTCCTCCTTGAGGACGTGGACGATATGAGCAGATGCCCTGGTTCCGAGATTTCTTTTGCCTTGCAGATTGCCGTGGTCCTCTCGCTGGAAAGTCACAGTCTCTTAATGGAGTTGTTGGCCGCCAGCTCGATCTTTCTTGAGCTTCTCCCTCAATTGTCCTAGGCTTGGAACACAGTTTGGGCATTTAGAGATGTTGCTTGGGGTGTTGGAGATGAAGATGAAAAACTCTTCTTTCCTAAAATCATTATCGTCGAATTGCACGCGGTCGCTGGAACATGCACCACATACCAATTCTTCGAATATCTTTCTTGAACTTTATGTTTGAGGCGTTGTCGGATGAGCGGTCAAGGAAATCACCTCGACCCTCTTGTCATGGTCTTCCAGCTCACCGATTAAAATTATCTTTCGAGTTAGCCAAGCAGAGAATGCTGCATTGCAACAGTTCTCGCACCGGCGCTCTGTTCCATACCACGTCTTGTGGTATCGTGGACTGCGAGCTAATCTGAATCTATAGCGTTCCTACCAACGACCAGATCCTGGTCCCCGAGACCCTTCTCAAGAAGCGCAAGTCTCAGGAGAAGGCCCGTGCTGAGCGCGCCGACGCCGTTGAGAAGAAGAAGGCTGTAAGTACTATCCTATTTCTACTTTGGCATTATGATGGAAAACATACATCATCAACTAGACTCCGGTCGATGCTGTTGATAGTTAACCTTCTTTCGGGTCTGACATTGCCGACTGATTCCAATCATTTCTTCATCCACTTGCAAGACATGGACTGACCAGTCTGAAATAGGCCAACAAGGAGAAGCGTCAGGTTATCTTCAAGCGTGCTGAGAAGTACGTCCAGGAGTACCGCGATGCTGAGCGTGAGAAGATCCGTCTTCACCGCGTCGCCAAGTCCGAGGACTCTGCTTTCGTCCCTGCTGAGGCTAAGCTGATCTTCGTCGTCCGCATCAAGGGTATCAACAAAATGCCCCCCAAGCCCCGCAAGATCCTTCAGCTTCTCCGTCTCCTCCAGATCAACAACGGTGTCTTCGTCAAGGTCACCAAGGCCATCACTGAGATGCTCAAGGTTGTCGAGCCCTGGATCGCCTACGGTTACCCCAACCTGAAGACCGTCAAGGAGCTCGTCTACAAGCGCGGTTACGGAAAGGTCAACAAGCAGCGTGTTGCCCTCACCGACAACGCCATCGTTGAGGAGAACCTCGGCAAGTACGGCATTGTCTGTGTTGAGGATCTCATCCACGAGATCTACACCGTCGGCCCCAACTTCAAGCAGGCCTCCAACTTCCTCTGGCCCTTCAAGCTCTCCAACCCCACTGGTGGCTTCCGCCCCCGCAAGTTCAAGCACTTCATCGAGGGTGGTGACCTTGGCAACCGCGAGGAGGCTATCAACGCTCTCGTCCGCCAGATGAACTAAGCGTTGGTTTCTAAAAAAAAAAGGCTTTTCAGGGATCGGTCGTTAGGACCTAACGGATTCAAAAAAGATTTGCATTTGACTGCTCGGCGTTCTTATCATGACAGGGATATGGCAATTGATACCGTGATTAATGACACCCGAGTTTTCAAAATATTCTATCTGTGATATCCTGTGATGTGAAATAATCATGAAAAGTTTTCTCACGTGCCGTTCGTATTCTTGCCATACATGGGAGGGGTATTAATAATGTCAATTATACATGTGGAGAACCACTTTTAAATCTATGGATCTTGAATCTTCATGTCTCCAAAGTTTGGGTATTCTACATCTTGATATCAAAGCTTGTGCCGCACCCACAGCTACTGGTAGCAAGTGGGTTATCAGTAATCTTGAACTGCGAGCCGATCAACTCCATAGTGAAGTCAACTTTGCTGCCCTTGAGGAGGTCGAGAGATGGCTCGTCGAGAATAATCTTAGGGCCCTCTTCCGAAGTTGTGGCCGGATCAGCGTCATCGGGGATGTACTGGAAAATCGTATCGTCCTCGTTCACGATGGATGACCACTCGGCGGCGTCCTTGGCTGGTAAGGTGACAAGGCTCATGAGATATTGGAAGCCATGGCAACCGCCACTTTCAACTTGAATCCTTAGTGCGAGGTTCGGGTTGCCATCCTTTTCCATGATCTTGTTGAGACGCTTTAAGAGTCAGCAGTGTCTCTAGGAGAGTTTCCCTTCTTACAATTACCTTGGCAGCTCGTTCAGTAATCTCTAGCATCATCTCATTGCCATCCTCATCTTGTTGGGGATTCAGGATAGCCCGCGTCTTTTGCCGGATAGTCGTAGTCGAGAATTGCCTCGTCGCTGTTCCCTTGGACTTCAAGTCCCACGATCGTCTTAGGTGAGCATATATTCTGGATTGTGCAATAGTGATTTGAGGGTTTCGTCGTCGAGATGATAGAGTGTATCGCGGAATAAGGAACTCGAGAGGCGTTGAGGTCTGGGGCGCCGTTGTGTAGCTTCGTCGTGCAAGCTGAATAAAAGATGTGGCCGTCGATTGCGCATTAGCGCAGTGAATTCGAGCCATGATGAAAGTAACAATTTGAAGGAACTGGGGTTGTAAAGATGATGTTGGAGGGAAATGGAATTACGTAGTGCATCTATGCTGAGAAATCCATGTTAGAAGCCGATTCCGCTTGCCTCCCGGACCTCGAATTCTTCTACGTCCCGGAGACCGAGAGAACCTGGAGGGCAAGGTCCGGCTCAACGACGGATAAGTCTCTGTTACCGCCGTTGTATTCCGAGGCTCATGTTAATAAAGAATTCTTTATATGACAACATTATGATAAGAATACATCGTTTTGTCGAATTTATCTGCCTTGTGAAGGCTCTGTTGATTCATCATCAACCTTTTGTTACTGATACATTTTTCTTATGCTGTGGTAAAGTTTGTCAACCAGAATTTATATCGGTAAGTATAAAGACGGGAGGGCACAGAAGATGGCTGCAGACTTTCGGCTGGTCACGCATATCTCCATTAAACATCGTAATTGGTATTCTTTCATCATTGATAGTCTCTACCAAATAATATGTTCAATACCTTGAAACACTACTCAAAACTCATGCTCGTAACTCAACTTGAAGCTTGTGACTCATGTCATCTCAGCCACTTACAACCAATCTGTGGCTGTGCGCCTATCAGCTCGGTTGCCCCTGCCCCACCCTAACATCCCACAATGAATTTTGCAAGTTGATTTTGGAAGGAACAACCCCGCGCACTTGACTTGAGCCAGGCCAGCCCAACAGACAAGTTTCAGTGTCAAAGAATTTGCCCAGCATGTCTCGATTTTTCCGCGGCGGCGACGACAGCTCCAGCGACAGCTCCAGCGACGAGGAGGAGCTCTACTCCGAGGAGGAGGAAGAGGAGCAGCAGCAAGACTCTCAGGAGGATTCTTCCGAGGCCGATAGCGACGACTCTAGCAGCGATGACGAGGGTGGCCGAGGAATCAACAAGTTCTTGAAGGATGCATCCTCCGATAGCGAAGACAGCGACGATGAAGTACGAGCCAAAGTCAAGTCCGCCAAGGACAAGCGCCTAGATGAGTTAGAATCATCTATCAAGCAAATCGAGAACGGTCAAAAGAACGGCGACTGGACACTCATCTCTGCCGGTACGAGAAACACTGTCGAATTTTGGCTGAACTTTTTTTTTTTAGATGCTAATAAAAATACTTAGAATATGAGAAGCTCAACCGTCAGGTCGCTAAGCTGCCTGGTAGCCGACCCCCCAAGCCTTACATCCGTATCCTCGCCGAGCTTGAGGACTTTATGAACGAGTCCCTCGCCAAGCAGAAGGTCACACCCAAGAAGATGAACGCCATCCAAGCCCGATCTCTCAACGCCGTCAAGCAAAAGGTCAAGAAGACCAACAAGGAATACCAGACCCAGATCGATGCCTACCGAGCGGACAAGGATGGCTTCATGGAGTCCTCGGACAACGAGCCCGTTGCTCCTGCTCCTAAGCCCAAGAAGGTTTCTCTCCAGGTCGACGCTGCTCCCACTGAGGAGGGCGATGACGATGGTTTCGCTACTGTTGGCAAGGGTGGACGCACACTTCAGTACACCCCTGAGAGCATCTTCAAGCACTTGCGAACCATCATGGAGTCCCGAGGAAAGAAGAACACCGACCGAACAGAGCAGATCAAGACTATGGAGAAGCTCCACGAGATCGCCAACACACCCTACCAAAAGATCCGTGTTCTCCTTACCCTGGTTTCTACTCGCTTCGATGTTGGCTCTGGTGGCGCTGGTGCCATGACTCTTGAGCACTGGAAGGCTGCTGAGAAGGAGCTCTCAAGCCTTCTCCAAGTCCTCGAGGACAACCACGACTATGTCGTTGTTGAGAACGCTGAGGAGTGGGATGATGATGACAAGCCCCCTACCCTGCAGGAGGGTGAGAAGCACATCAAGGTCCCTGGCAGCATTGTCTCTTACATCGAGCGTCTTGATGACGAGCTCGTCCGCTCCCTCCAGAGCATCGACCCTCACACCTCCGAGTATATCGAGCGATTGCAAGACGAGGGTGCTCTCTATAACATCATCTTCCGTGGCCTCCTCTACTATGAGTACCTCCGAAAGGATGACTCTCTTGAGATTCCCCAAGATAGCGTGAACCGAATCGTTATGCGCCGCTTGGAACACGTCTACTTCAAGGTAATATCCGAGCCTATTCCACTTTTTATCGCAGTAACTAACATGTCTTCAGCCCGCCCAAGTTGTCAAGACCTTCGAGGAGAACTGCTGGAAGGTTGTTGGCGAGACCGTCGAGTCTGTCATCACACCCCGCGACCAAGCTCAGAACGCCGGCAACCTCGTCAATGTTCTCTGCAACTACCTGTTCAGCAACAGCGACGGTATTATCCGTGCCCGAGCTATGCTGTGCCAGGTCTACTTCCTCGCCCTCCACGGCGAGTACTACAAGGCTCGTGACATGATGTTGATGTCCCATCTTCAGGAGAACATCCCCAACTTCGATGTGCAGAGCCAAATTCTTTACAACCGAACCCTGGTGCAAGTTGGTCTTTGTGCTTTCCGCAAGGGTCTTGTTTATGAGGCCCAGAACACTCTCCAGGAGATCTGCGGCAGTGGTCGCCAGAAGGAGTTGCTCGCCCAGGGTGTCATGATGCAGCGATACAACCAAGTGTCTCCTGAGCAGGAGCGCCTTGAGAAGCAGCGACAACTGCCCTTCCACATGCACATCAACCTCGAGCTCCTCGAGTGTGTGTACTTGACATGCAGCATGCTCCTTGAGATCCCTCTGCTGGCCCAGACTGGTTCATCTCCTGATGTCAAGAAGCGAGTTATCAGCAAGACCTACCGCCGCATGTTGGAGTACCATGAGAGACAAATCTTCACTGGACCTCCTGAGAACACCCGTGACCACGTGATGCAAGCGTCCAAGGCCTTAGCTGCTGGTGAGTGGAAGAAGTCGATCGACTTCATCCACAGCATCAAGATCTGGGACTTGATGCCCAGCGCCGAGGAGATCAAGGTCATGCTCTCCAAGCAGATCCAGGAGGAGGGTCTGCGAACCTACCTCTTCACCTACGCCCCCTTCTACGACACCCTCTCCACCGAGACCCTCAGCGCCATGTTCGAGCTTGACACGACCAAGGTTGCGGCTGTCATCAGCAAGATGATCAGTCACGAGGAGCTTGCTGCCTCTCTGGACCAAGTCACATCCACCGTCATCTTCCGCAAGGGTGTCGAGCTCAGCCGTCTCCAATCGCTTGCCCTCGCCCTATCAGACAAGGCCAGTGCGCTCATCGAGAGCAACGAGCGAACTCTGGAGCAAAAGACACAGGGAACTTCAAATGCATTCGAGCGACAAGGAGGCCGAGGCCGGGGAGGACGGGGACGAGGAGGCGGACAGGGCCGAGGAGGAGCGCGAGCAGGTGGCAACACGCAGCGACAAGCTGGTGGAACACAGTTCACGGGTGGTGCGCTTGGAGCGGCTGTCCGGGGTTAAGAACTGGGGAATGAACGAGATGAGGCGTCTTAGTCGTTTGCATTTTGCATGGGATGGTTTCTTTTAATGAAAAGGGGCGAAGATGCGGAAGCACTCGCTACGTGTCACTAGGTCGAAACGGAATATGGATACATAGAACTCGTCAACATTGCTTGTGCTTGTGCTATGCTGTGAGATGAGATGAGAGATGACAGGAAGAGTAGATTAAAAGCACTGTAACGAACGAATCCATGAGATTAAAGTTATTTGAGATACATAAACGATTTGTAGAACTGTGTCAGAGGATCTATAGTCTCTATCGATAGGATATATAGTTGAGGTGCTTGGCTATCAGGTCAGTTCATACCACATTGGCAACCAATCAGGGAAGAAACAGAGACAAGATCTAACGTGTCTGGATACAATACTCCAGTTCCGCCTCCGAAGCTAATGACTCTTGACTGCAGTTCGGACTTTGAGGTTGAGCGAAGCGCCCAGTTCAGCGAAAGACGGACGGGATGACTAAGTTGGCGCGCGGATAAAGACCGACTCCATCAGTCAGCGATTTCCAATCTCGTCGACTTTTTCTCTTGCGGATATGGGCGGCTTGTGAGTGGTCCAGAGGGTTCCCAACCTGGAGACATCATGAGGTAGACTCTCCTGTTTTTGTATATTTTAGTGAGACTTTTCGAGTCTCTGTCTTGTTTTTCTCTTGTAACATTTTTGTCAATAATGAGAGCCATTTGGCGGTTGCAACACTGTAAAAACTTCATATCTTTAAACAAGCTCAATTCTCAGACGTTGCCACTTGGACTATTTTCGATACCCTCTTTTCGTTTTCGGGTGGCTATATCCGCGAAATCTCACATCTCGACTGCTTCTTTCATTTCTCCAAGTAATCGCCAAGAAACAGTCATGTCTGAATCAAAACCTCAAGAAGAGGCAAAGCCTGTCGAAAATGTTGAGACAAAGACGGAGGAGGAGTTACCACCACTGTCGGATCATGAGTTTAAGATCTATAATCGAGCGGCCGACCATATGGAATATTTTGTAAGTCTCACTTCACATCTATCATACAAGTTATTCTTATCTAATGTACTGTACTGCAGCACAACAACTTCCGAAGATCATGGAACCTCCTATGGAATGCATGCGCCAACAACCGTCGACCTCAAGGCATGTCACTGAAGCAGTTCATCATGGAAGGTCTACAATTCGCCGAGCATCTCACTATGCACCACAACATCGAGGAGACATACATCTTCCCCGTGCTAGCCAAGAAGATGCCTGAATTCCGAGGAGGACGCGCCGAACTTCTTCGCCAGCACAAGCAGATCCATGCAGGTCTGGACCATTTCGAAGAATACCTCAAGAAATGCAGGACTGGGGACGAGGAGTTTGAACTCAGTGTGCTCAAGACAAAGATGGAGACTTGGGGTGAGGTGCTATGGAAGCATCTGGATCAAGAGGTTGAGACTTTGGGGGCAAATAATATGAGAAAATACTGGACCAAGGAGGAGGTGATGAGATTACCCATGTGAGAGAAGCTTTGAATGCGCCTATGACTTGTTATTTAGCTGCGCTGTTAATCAATGTACACATAAGCCGCAGAAAATGTGTCATGGCAAAAGATTCCATAGATACTTAATGCTGCTCAAGGGCGTCAATGATATGTAGATGGGATACAAAGACTTAGATGGGGCTCTCAACTCGAGAGTATTTCTCTTGTTGGTCATGTACACGCGCGCTTAGAGCGTGTGGAGCCCACGGTTTTCTGGGTGGGGATAATTGATATTCCATCCGTACACATCTCGAACCAATTTTCGAGCCTCATCATTATCGATCGACGCCCAGCGACAGGCAGGCAGGCAGGCAAGATGATGCGCCAAAGTATTAGACCCTTGCGGGCTTTCTCGGTATGGCAAACTACGACCAAATCATCCTCAATTGACCCTCCAGCTAACCATTGTGCCAGTCCGAGGTGTCATGGATTGCCCGCCGAACACAGGCCTCACTGTACGTCTTCCTCACCGAATCTCGCTACGACGATCGATTGAACGACCATAAATATTGACTGATTTAGGGCCAAGCCAGGAGATCTGATCCCAAACAAAGTGGAGGAGTCTCGATCAGAAGACGGCCCTGAGCCTCGATTCCCTCGCTCCGTCCAGGCCCTACACCTCAAGCCTCTAAAGCGCGAGGCGGAGCACGGCATCCCCTCCTGCGATCTCCAACTCCGATCCTACAGCGTCCAGCCCCTCGAATTCTTCTCCGACTTTGCCCTCCGCGCCGCCTACTACCTCGGCCTCCCCGCCTACGGCCCCGTGCCTCTCCCCCGCATCACAGAGCGCTGGACCGTACCGCGAGACAACTTCATCTTCAAGAAGTCGCAGGAGAACTTTGAGCGAAAGACACTGCGTCGCCTTATCCAGATCCGCGACGGAAACCCCGAGACGGTGCAGCTGTGGCTGGCGTACCTCCGCAAGCACCAGCTCTACGGCGTGGGAATGAAGGCCAACATGTGGGAGTTTAGCGAGCTGGGTGTTGGGAAGAAGATGGATGCGCTGCCGGAGGCGGAGAAGGGCGAGATTGATGCCAAGTGGTCGCATCTTGGTCAGACAAAGACGATTGGGACGGTGGAGAAGGTTGAGGAGTTGCTTAACCAGCGGAGGTTCCGGGAGGCTGCTGGTCTTCGGGTTCCTCCTACGACGAGCGTGTAAGAGGGGGTTGAAGAGATATGGAATGATTTTGAAGTCCTCGTGCTCTGGTCCTAAGAAGTGGCCGACTATTTTGGCATAGGCAGGAGGAGGACTTTATGTGTACAATAGCCCATAGAAGGCTCCAATTTTGTAAAATCAACGCTTTGGAATGACAAAAGTAATCTCACGATCAAAAGGAGTGAAGGTTTTATTAGGTTAATTCTTTGTTGTCCCCGTTGGGATATCATGATGGTGCTTCCGAAATTCAGATTTGGTGATATAATTCCGAAGCTATCAACGTCAAACACCAACAAACAATTGCCTCAGAACTCCAATTCTATTCTTGAACGGTAATCACCGCAATAATTCTTATATATCTTCATCGTTCGGTATTAACCGGCATTCTTGAGTATTTTCACAACACGAAGCAAGGCGCCCCGCTAGATGCATACACAATCTTGGACCATTCACGGCTCAACCTCAGTCTCAGTCTCAGTCTCAATCTCAACATTGCTTCAACCTCACCTTTCTCCCAGACTCGATTCGTCTCATAAGATATCACATAAAATATGCTGAAATCAACAATTGCAAAACCTCGAGTGATTTTCTCGGGCATTCAACCCACGGGCATACCTCACCTAGGAAATTATGCAGGCGCACTTCGACAATGGGTTAAGCTTCAAGAGAGACATACAGAAGACAAGCTCATCTACTCTATCGTGGATCTCCATGCTATCACAACACCTCAACAGGCGGATGTGTTAAGAAAGAGCAAGAGGGAGGCATTGGCTGCCTTGTTGGCTATTGGCATCGATCCTGAGAAAGTGACTTTGTTCTATCAGTCTTCTGTGAGAGGTCTTTGCACTATTAGCTACATAACCACTAATATAGATGAACAGGTACCCGCTCATTCAGAGCTTATGTGGATTCTCAGCTGTACAGCTTCCGTTGGATATCTATCAAGAATGACACAGTGGAAAGTCAGTGTAAATAACAAAACATGTCAACGTCAAAGCTAACTCTCATACAGAGCAAACTCAATATCAGCGACAAGTCAAACATGAACGACAAAGCAGCCAGTAACCTCAAACTCGGCCTTTTCTCGTATCCCGTTCTTCAAGCTGCCGACATTCTCGTACACAGGTTCGTGGTGTAGTTATTCCCAGCATAGCACAGGATAGGCTGACATTCATATCTTCAGAGCAACTCATGTTCCAGTTGGTGAAGATCAGAGGCAGCATCTCGAGTTTGCTCGAGAGTGTGTAACAAACTTCAATGCAGCTTACGGCAACCATTTAGTATCCCCTCAAACTACCCCCTGTAAGCTCAAGCTCCACCCTCTATCCTCTGGTTCAAACTGACATGTTATGTGTAGCTCCTGTCCAAAGAGTCATGTCTCTCCAGAAGCCAGCAGAAAAAATGTCAAAATCCAGCAAGTCACCGAAATCACGCATCAGCATCATCGACTCCCCTGAGGAGATCAAGGCCAAAATCCAAGCTGCAACAACAGACTCCATTCCGGGGATAAGTTACAACAGAGAAGAACGACCTGGAATCTCAAATCTGCTGGATATTATGGCCATTTTTGATCCCGAGGGGAGAAAGGCTCAAGAGCTTGGAGAGCAGTACAATGACCTTTCACCCAAGCAGCTCAAGGAGATGGTTAGTGATGCAGTCATTGGTGGTTTAGATGGTATTCGGGATCGCTATACTGAGCTGCTGAATAAGGGGGATGGGTACCTTGATTCCATTGCGGCAATTGGCGCTGGAAAGGCACGCAAAAGTGCTGAGGAAACTATGCAGATTGTCCGAGAGGCTGTTGGATTGTAAAAGAGTCTCATGTAAATTATTTGTATATTAGAATTTGCTTCTCTGCATATTGTGGTCAGAGGCTGACGAGCTGTGTCTCTACGAAGATGGAATAGAGGACCACCCATAGGTCTGTGTACTCAATTGATCACATCCAAATCCTGATGAAGTCAATGAGAGTAAACAATATTGTGAAGAATCATCTTTCCATATTATAAATATATTTGCAGCATAGCAATGCCCCTAAACTCTCATGCCCAAGGTATCTTCATGTGCTCATTTTATTCTAATCATCCTAGTACTTGGTCTAGATTGTCCTTCTATTGACTTGTTTTAACTCCTGTTTTGTTCATGAGGCGTAGGCGAAATTGGAGCCTCGTGCCGACTGCCAAAAGTCTCTGACAACCTGATTTGTGGCCTTGGCTCCCCTGAGACTGTGATATGGTTAGTATTATATAAAGACATCAGATGGAATTTTGATTGTAGATATAGAGAAGATATTAAGACATAGTGAGAAGGAAGGGGAAAGGTCGGGGTGTTGTACCTAATGATCTTCTTCAAGAACATCGATTTGTCCTGAGGAGTGACTTTTGTGCTGGGAAACGTCTCATGTGTGAGGCCAGCTTCAAGCCAGCTCTTGGCCATGGGGTACCGAGACACCAGCTTCTTGAGAGGCTCACTCAATTTGTCAAGCTCACTTCTGGAAGCATTGCCCCCGAGGTTCCTAGCGAGAGTCCGCGAGAGCAAAGGTCCCAGCATTTGCATAGCTTGTTGAGCAACATCATTGAGTTCTTGAGAATCATACTTAATGCTGACAAAGGTAGCCTGTTGAATCAATGTTAGTTTAGGTGATGGAACTCAACTGCCAATGGTCGATCTTACCCAGAATTCTGCTGCACTTGCTTTCGGGAGTGGTTCCTTTCCGTCCAATACTTGGAGGGTAAAGAGAAAGAAGAATTCAGCAGCGTCGGAAGGTTGTAGACGAAGTAAAGTGATGGGGCGCTTGTTCAAAAGTCGTGTTACGAAGTCAATGCCGTTTTGTGTAAGTTCGGTGTCTGCCTCGTAGTCTATTGTAAAGTTGATGGTTAGTTGAGTACTGAATGTTATGCCAGAGAACTTACTGGGTAGTTGTTTAAGCAGTCCAATTACCCAAAGCAGTACAGAGTTTAGCATGTCTTGCTGGTTGTCAAGTCCATCATGTTCAAGTGAACTGACAAAAGAACAAGCGGTCTTAACTAGCAGGCCAACTCTGGGAGTTTGAAGATTCTGGTTCGTCAAGTACTGCGCAACACTGTGTGGTGGCAGTACAAATGGCCCAGGTTCGGATTCTGAAAACCCACTGCGCAGGACACTGCAGATAAGCTCAACAACCTCCCCGCTGGTGTTGAAAGCTTCTTGGATCTGACTAATCATCGACATGATGCTTCCTTGGAGTTGAGCAAGATGAGGGTCCACGACTCGAGTGCTGGCCCTACTACTCTCCAGATCAACTGACAGCTCGGCCGGAGCTTGGAGGCCTTTGCCAATGCTGGCCAGGCATCTTAGAGACTTCAGTGCGGTATGAAGGGCAGGGCTCTCATCAGGGGCAGCATATGAACAGGTGTAAACAGCACAGCAGGGCATAGGGCTGCCATCGTAGGATCGAAGAAGGCCCAGGGAACGTTGGACATCAGCCTGAACAAACTCGAGAAGTCGACCACACGCTGAATATTTCTGGTCTGAATCAGGCATCGCTTGAATGACTGATGCAATACCACCGACTACCTTCTCGCTAGCACCACAGTCAAGTCGTCTTCCGGATACTAGATTCTGATACTCGTTGAGAAAGCTATTGGCTTCTGTATGAAGATAGCCTCGGCAAGACCCGCATAACCTGTGAATGGACTTTGCTGCAGCATTGGCCATTGCATGTTCTCCCACAACACCAAAAATGAAGTTGAGAACGGTATGTAGCTCTGAAACGTTTCGCTCGAAGTACTCTGTATAGCGGGCGATCAGGGAGACGCACGTTTGCTGAACTTTGGGAGGGATCTCAGACTGGCCTGAACGCAAGATCGCGAACAGGGATGATTTGAAAACCACTGATAGTGCATCGTCGCCTCTGTTTGTCTCGCTGATGCAATCGGCAAGTCCACCCAGACAGAAGGCCGCTGCTTCGAGCTGAGGCCACGACGATTCAGACAAAGCTTTCAGAAGAAGGTCCGCAAATGTAGACACAAGCTGTGGTCCTACCAAGGTGAAGACAGACTGCAGAAGATCAACAACATCTTTTCTTGCGTCATGGAAACTTATCCGTTCGCTCGAGTCCCAGGAGAGGAATTCCTCAGCAGGTGGGTAGATGATCTTCTGCCATGCATTCGATACAGCTTGCAGAAGGTGGGAGCGAGCTTGGGGGACCCAGGTTCCGGTTGACTCCTCGTCTGAGTACGTTAGATCAGTCAAGGTCTCGGCATAAGTCAGCCAGAACTCAAGAGCCGGAACAAATATCCTGTCTTCCTCAACAATATATCCTCGCGCAGCAAGGAGACCGCACAGGTTTGACAACAGTTTCTGACTCCGACTATCATCGCTCTGCATGAACTTTTCGATTTTTGCCTCCCCAAAAGCCAGCAAGAGTAGGCCATATTGTAGAGTGTCAAACTCAAAGTCTCCTTGGACTAATTTCTCATAGCGACGATGGGACCAGGGGGAGTCAAAGAGCTGAGCAAGGTTGTCGAAATGGGTATCGCTCAGGAACATTAAACAGTTGGACAAGAGATCCACCATTAGTTCAACTGACACGCTGTAAAGCTCGTCAACTGTCAGAGAAGTGATGACTGCCGTGATCAAGGGTCCGATGGGTTCCGAGAGTCTTGTATCCTTGGATGAAGACTTTTGAGCGAACCAAACCCACGACTATATTTCTGATTAGGCAAATGCAGAGATGCGACAACGGGTGGCTTACCTGTAGGCATCGGATTGCATCCTCATGAGCTTCTTCCGTTGTCGTTTGGGGTGACATGCTGCGACTCATCAAAGCCACTGCATCGGAGCTGTTCTCCAAGATGGAACCATAGATACCAATACTGCCATTGGGTCAGCATGTGAACAGTCAAACATGAAGCGACGTGAATGGTACATACTTTTGCACGGAGTTCAGGTTGATCTTGGCAACCTCATCGAAAACATTAGTCAATACCCAAAGAGCAGCCTGTGCTTGTGATGGCTCCATGCGCTCTATAAGCGAAGCCGTATCGGGCCCTTCATCGAGGGCACTTGGTAGACACGACTGGCCTGAGACTAAACAGAATATGAGATGACGGACGAAACGACTCCATAGTTGGTGAAAGTTGATGAAGAAGGTCGCAAGGGCTGATGCGAGTTTACGGGCAACCAACGGTGAGCTTCGACTGCGCAGCGTATCCAGGTAATGATTTATCAATAATAGTAACAGCTCAGATGCATCTTCGGGTGAGAGGGATGAGCTACAGAGAGGATTAGTGAGAGGCCAGTAACAATAACAAAGACATGAATACCTCTCATTATTGAGTTTGATGACGATGGTGAGTGCGCCAAAGAACTTGACCTGTTGATCAGGTTTCTCCAATAAGATACGGGCAAGGCCCCAAGCTTCTGGAGTACCTTGAAGACGAGATAAGGTTGCTTGTGTCTGAGCAATCACTTCGGGAGGATTCGGTTGGTACAGTGAGAGAATGAGCTACAGAAGAGAGAAAAGTTAGTCACTACGATCGATTTGCTACGCTTCAGAGTAACACAAATAAATCCCTTATTGGTTTCTGAAAGGCGAGAAAAGAATGAAACTCGTTGCACATACTCTCTCAACTTCTGCTGGGTCTTCGGCCATGGTTGGAAGGATTGTGTAGGTCACTCACTCAAACTTGCGATTACTGGGCTTCAAAATGCATGCCCCGCCATAGAGTGAAGGCTGGTGGGGGTTGAAAAATGGCAGCCACCATGACCATGAAAGGAAAGCAAGGACATAGCTAATAATTAATCCGTAATTATTAGGCCATTATTACAACGTTCACTCTACGGATAAACGAATACATCACTCAGACAAGTATCATGATTTGACAATATTATTATTTAATTACGTTTACGACGTTGCGCTACAACGTTCTTGTAGAAAGCCTTCTTTCCGCTGGTCTTTTGCTTCTGAATACCAGCGTACTTGTCGGTGAACTTGTGACTATCAAGATCCCGTGTGACCTCCTCGAGGAGAGTATTCTTCCTCTCCTTGCGCGTGAGTCTCGCGCTGAAGAACTCGGTCGGTCCGGCGATGATCTCGCCGACCTGCGAATATTCGGGGGCGCTCGCGCGGAGGGCCTTCTTCTGGTGCTTGGGGTCCAGGATGCCTCGCATGCGGAGGACTTGCCACTCTCGCTTGAACTCGGGGGTCATGTTCGTCTTGGGAAGATCGAACCATTCAGGGCCTGCGGTAGACTATTGCGAAACTTGTTAGCCATGTTTGTTCAACAGCGCGTCTTGCGTTGATGTGCTAAAGTGTTTGCGCGAGGTAAAAGTCAGAGTAACTATGATATAAAGAGATCACGTTGTCATGGTCCTTTGATCCAAAACGGATACTGTCCCATGTCACAAATGTTTGGGATAAATTTTCTTCATGTAAATGGCAAACGGAGTCGAAGCGCGAGAGATTGGTGTTTGTCTTCTTACCTTTTCCTTGGCCTTGAGTTCCAATTGCGGTTGAGGTGGTGCTCGAACAGTCAGACCATCTTTCTTGCTGCTGCTGTCAGAAGATTTTTGCTGCTTGACATTTTTTGTTGTCGCGGCGTCGCCAGCGACTACAGCATTGGAGGTGTTGGTTGAAACGATAGCAGAAGCAGAGCCATCTTTCAGACGCTGCTCAGCCTTGTGCAGCAGCTCATCGACCTGATCATCTGAGATGTCTGTCATGGTCTGCTGTCGACCGAGAGGAAAAAGAGAAGAGAAGTGAAGGGAACGAGAGACGAGCGCGTAGAAATAGTTCAGAGATGGCAGAAAAAATGCAGTGGAGACAGATTTCGGCGGACCCACTCTGGCCGCTTTGCTGTAAAGGTTCAGGCAAAAGGTAGGGCCCTATAGGTGCTTCTATGGTTTGATGCGAACCTCGAGCAAATCAAATCGCATGCGAAGCACAAACTCTGTACAGAAACAGCAGAGGGGTATAGATTTAAATCACTAGATATTTAAGTGAAGTACATGCCCAATCTTTGCTACTGAATATTGTAATTTCCATAAAGATTGAGACCTGAGCAATCTTCGGTACGTACTTCCCTCAAGTGCTAGAGTGATTCTGTCCAATCAAAACCTAGCGCTTCTGCTAATACCCTAAGCCTAATTGGGAATACTGCTTGTCTGCTGCTCCGTCATTGCTCACCTTGCTCACCACCACCAACACTACTGTCAAGGCAAAACAACATTCACCGACGCATACACTATTCTAAACGTTTATCAGGAATATTCGAGTTGTCATTTTTTCGCGCATACTCCCGCGACATCTCGGAACCAAACATTGATTCTTAGTATCCTATCATGGAGAACAACCCCAATCAAGCAGCTCGAACGAGGCCCGTTTATGACGCCTCTCAAGGCGGTCATTATGGTGCGAATGCCCCATCCTGCCCCATCACGTTTTATGTTGACCATGAGTTCTAATTTGATCGTTCAGGTGCCAGCGCTTTGGTATGATCAATTCCACTTGTTCTTGGATATAACCTCCCATTGCCGACGCGACGCGATAGCTTCAACCTCTGTTGTAGATCTCGCGCTAATCACGCCTTTAGCTCGCGACCCAAGGTTTTGCGCCCAGTGAACTTTACACCGGTCCATGGGCAAATGTGAGTCAAAAGCTTTCTATCATGTCTTGTTACCCCATTAATGAATGCGTTAACTGATTGATACTCGTGTAGGCGCATCAAGGCCTAACAGGCCAGTATAAGGACATCTTGACTACATACTGGCAACACACCATCTCCCACCTCGAAAACGACAGCCACGACTACAAGCTCCATCAGCTACCTCTGGCGCGCATCAAGAAAGTCATGAAGGCCGATCCAGAGGTCAAGATGATATCTGCCGAGGCCCCAATCTTGTTCGCAAAGGGTTGCGACATCTTCATCACAGAGTTGACCATGAGGGCATGGATTCACGCCGAGGAGAATAAGCGCCGTACTCTGCAACGTTCAGATATCGCATCTGCCCTCGCAAAATCGGACATGTTCGACTTTCTGATTGACATTGTCCCCCGGGAAGAAGCATCCAGTCACGCCAAGCGGACGACCCAGACTGCAGCTGCTCAACCGGTACCTGCTGGTCAGGCTCCAATGCCAGGACAACACGCGATGGCTCAGGCTCCCAACCAAGGCCATCCAATGGGTGGTGATTACATGGCTGGGCATGGCCTCGCTCCCGATCAAGATTACCGCAACCAGCCCAACATGTATCCCGACCAATCAGTGCCTAACCCCCAGGCCGCCTACGGCCAGACCCAACCTCCTACCATGAATCCGTACGGTAACATGGGAGACATGTATCCCTACTCAGCCATGCCACCACAGCAACCAAACATGCCCAACGAGGAATTTGAGCAGTAGAACACTCCTCCTTCCCGGGAACAGCTCATGAGTCTGAGCAGCGGATTTAAGTACATCGCCGCGTTGATGAAAGCTAGCAGCAATGAAGAGTTGGAGTAACACCGGGGGCAGTTATGACATGGATTTAGGTATAAAAGGAATACCAAGGTTTTCATTCTTAGCAACAATTCAAGCGGGACTACGAGCCCAGGCATGATTTGATATGACATTAAATATCCTTGTCCACTTTCCCTGTGATGAAACTTTGAGGCCACCAGTGTGATCGCAAGCTCTTGGCCAGGATCCCGGAGGACACTCTTGAACAGAAAGGACGGGTCGTAGGTCGTCAGACCGTAATAGAGAAAGATTATACAATGGACAAAGTTGTCCTGACGTTGATCCGTTGCAATGCCTATGAGCCTATGCTGGTTTGATTCACGGTGATTTACGTTCTCGGCAGATTGCTTTCTTGCTTCTGGTGCCAGATACGTGCAAGTGAGACAGTAAATCACTCCATGGAGCATTTACGAAGAGAAACATTTTGAACCCAAGTTGCAGGCTTAATATGAAGCCTCTCTTTTATTCTCAGCTAATGCAAGAGTCATAGCAAATAACACCCATCATTTCTTATTGCTCTGGCTATTACCATTCCCGCTTCCTCATGCCTAAGAACTCCCAGTGGCCTCATTATCGTTGCAGTACTACATCATGTTCGGTTTATGCCAAATCGTGAGGAAAAGTTGGCCAGCGGCGCGCTTCTAACGGGGCTCGCGGTAATGGGTGTCAACCTGCAGTTCGTTAGCAACATGAAACGGTGATCACAATTTGGTTGAACGTACTTCTCCAATAACATTGGTCCATTGAGTGCATCTACACGTCCGTATTTCTTGTTACGTGTAGAAATGTCAAAGAACTCATCTTGGTTATCAGTCTGGAGGAGAGCAATGGTCTGTGCCAGCTCATCCAGATTCTCTCGAAGCATTTGGCCGTTTTCCAGACTGCTGACGAACTGTACAAGATAATCCACATCCTGGGCGAGAGCAGCCACGCCGTTGGGGTTGATGTGCTTCACATCAGGAGAAAGGGGAAGGGCCTGGAGTGGTGAGTACATAGCTACTTGCAGGAGGAGTAGTACATACCAGAATCTTTTCGGCTGTGTGGCTCAGAGCGTCAAAATAGATAAGTTCTTTGATCTCCCGAGGTAGACCAAGAAGAGTTGAGTTCATAATGTTGGACAGGTACCGCGTCAGAGTTTGCATATAGTTGCTGGGTTCCTTTTCCACTGTTGATGCGGTCCTAAAGCTAGTTAGACATGTCACAAAGGATCATGTGAAGAACGTACCATTCATATTCGGCTGTGTCAATTAGATCATCAATCTTGGAGTTGACAAGCTCGAAGATTCGCTTCTCAGCGGTTTTCTTGTTGTCACGGAACGAGTCAGTAGCTTTAAGCTTGACTGGACCGCCTGCTGATGTCGATGAGCGTGCACGAATGAGTAATTGCTCGAGCTCTTGACAGGCAATCTCAAAGTGCTCCAGATTAATGAGAATTTGGACGATCTGGCCCAGATATTGAGAGCTCAGACGCTCTACTAACGACTTGCAGACCTTTTCTGTAAGAAGTTCGTCAAGCGACTGTTGAAGATGTAAGCATTGAGCCTCAGGTGAGAAAGGGGCATTGTACCTTTTTGAGCGTCTCATCAATGACATTAGGATGTTGGAAGTGATCATCTGAAAAGAAGTAGAACTGGTTCAGGAAGTTCCGGATGTCTATACAACATAAAGGATACATTTGTGAGAATGGGAGTACGCATGGATACCTGTTCTGTTAGCTAGGCTTGGCTTCAGTCAAGAAGAGAGGAACTTACGTGAGTTGATCCGTTGGCTTCTCTTGAGTGAACCAACTGACATTGACAACCTTTTCGTACTCTTCTGGCGTATTGATGGCCATTGGCATGTAGTCATCCGTGGACACTATCTGAGAGAATGTAAGCAAATGGAAATGATACAGTCCACGGGACACTTACCTCCTGGAAGTCTACGCTGAACCGTTTCTTCAATAGCTCGGCATACTTGTCGAACAGCTTTAGAAGGAAGTTGTCCAGCATTGTTACTGTATATCCCCAGCCCTATATTCGTTAGCACGGTCGTGGCAAAATGCATTTGCCCGTCGAGCATCAAGATTGTCGTACCTCCATGGTTTGAATGAAAAGAGCAATGATGGTCTTAATCTTAATCAAGGCCTCAGCATCCTCGATATCACTTAACGCTTTTGAGGTGAGGTTTATCACAGCAGTGCACATGGATTCCCATAGCTCTTCAACCTTTCCGCCATGTTAGTACAAGCAACCACATACAAAAACTGTCAAAACTCACATCGTTCGCTGAGCGCAAATGTGGAACCCTTTGCATGGTCGCCTTTTCAATGATGGCGAATCCTGCTATTCCTTCTAGCAAACTACTCAAAGATTGCTCGTCATCCGCCAAGAGTTCAATAAATCCAGGAAGTAATAGATCCTTTTGTTGACGTCGAGTCGCACCATATTCTGATCGAAACTTCTCGAGCTGACCCAGGGCTTCATGGATGTGAAGCGCTTCAAGTAAAGGAGTGAAGTCTACTTGCAACTCCTCATTATTCAATACATCGAAGTCTTCATTTTCGTCGCTGACAAGTTCAATGGCAGAGTTCAGCTTGAAATTGGCCAAGAAGGGGTCCTCTTCTATCCTCTTCTTTTGTCGAGTCCTCCTCATTTCGGTATGGTAGAATGCGACCTCGCCCAGAAACTGAGATGTCTCTCGAATACGGAACAGCCACGTATTTAGGTCGGTCATAACAGCTTCCGAGATCGCTTTCTGGGATGCGGGTATAGATTTTTGGATGACATCGGCCAGCCGATGTTGCGTAGAATAGCGATTTTGGATGATAGGCACAAGATGTTCGTTTTGGAGATCGTCGAGGGATTTGAGAGCGGCATAGTAGCTCTTGCGACGGACAAGTTCGTGGGCATTGTTGACGGCGCGGAGGATAGTAAGGGAGTCGTTCAGGGCGCTGGTCGCATCGGCAATGTTTTGCCTAACAGCAGAAGTGTTGACCAGAGCTTCCTTCTGTGTAGCCAACTTCTTCGTGCTTTCAGCAATCGATTCGTTCAGACTCAAGATCTCTTGCGTCAAGGTCACTGTTTCCGCTCGGACGGTCTGAAGGTGATTGATGGAATCGAGGAACTCCTCGTGCCTGGTGAGGCCGATACGTTCGATTTCAGCTTCTCGTTCTTCATAGTAACGACTTAAGCATTGAGTCAAAAGAGGTGTTCTGTTCGAGTGTGTGGCATCTTTAAGGACGGGTATCAACTGATCGAGGAACTCGGTATCGGAGGATGCGAGGATGACCTGGAGAGGTGGCAGGTTAGCGCATGTTTCTGTTATAATCATAGGGAGGTGGGAGTTGTACATGCGGAACAACGGACGCATAATCGTCCACAGCAGGCGGACGTCGCGGCATGCCTATAGCCTTCGTATGGGTAACGCTATTAGCGATGAGGTTATCGTCTTAGTCGTCGCGTGTCGCAAGCTGCTCTGAAGCTCCCTCCCACTAAGACCAAGTGACGCCTAGGCTCCAGGAAAAGATAAGATAAGGAGGTCCAGAGCCACACTGTCACTGCCACAGTTCATTTGGGCGGGCTTACTTAAGCCAGCGCCCCGCTCAGAACTACATGGGATCAGGAGAGAGGATTCACATATGTAGAGGCAGATAATCCTCGAAATAATGTATCTTGTACTCGTTAGAATATTACAGGGATTTCTCTACATCTGTGAAGTCTGATAACACTAGTTAGAATCATGCATGAGACTTGTTGTAGCAAATGCCTAATCTCATTCACAAGTCTAGCAGTATTTCCATCAAGAATAGATTCAGAATCTGGCGATATACCCCCGACAACATGTCTATATTAGTTTTAAAAAGATAAAAGGAGAATAAAAACATATATCTGTGTTCTATAGCACATTGCAGAGTACTTTGGCTTTCTGAGAGAAGTGCAATCCTATGAAACAGACTCCTTCACAACAGTCTAGGGTAAGAACCATATCCTGGAGTGCAGCAAGCTCGCCTGCAATGTAAGAGACGAACTCTTCGCTCACTGTCTACAAGTTCATCGACGACGAAGTTCCTACCATTTTTTGTTAAGCAGTGTGAGTTTAACAGATTAGGAACATTGATATCCCTTCAGTAGAGCATAGACAAGCAAAGGCGCTGGGATGCAATTGCAGGTAGACAGCAACTCAGAGCGAGACATGTGTAGGGTTTTGCACCTGAAATGCACGAAAATATGGTATCTAAGTCAAACTTAAATTTCTTGATGTATCGACATGCCCTAATTGTTTTTGTTCCGGTAAGGTACATTCAAGAGTTGGCTAACCATATTCCAGCTAACACTTAAATCTCAGGTTGTAGAACTATTACTCCGCTAGCCGTTACAAATGATAAATTTATCAGTTTGCAGTGAGTTTTATTGGATACGGTAGCTTGATGTTATGCGGTTCTGGCGTTGGCCTTTCTTGAACCCCATCGCCGCTCCTGACCACCCTTCATCACTTGCATTTTGTCGATGTCGATTTCGCGCAGTATGTACCCGGAGGAATAAGCCGCTGGATACTCTAATTTCCTAGGAAGATAGCGCTTGGGACTGCCAAGGCATTTTTTAAGATGAGGGCCATGCGAACTGCAGCGAGGCCAATGCTTGTAACAGCAATGGCGAAACAAAGAGTACAAATCCTCATAATGTGCGTTGGGATAAGCCCGAGTTGAGCAGAAACAGCAACAGGGACGAGGAGTATTAGCCGTGCTATGGGATTGAAGTATTGTCGCAAGGATCGGGGAGTTACTTGATCTGCACTCGGGAAGAGACGACCGAAATGACCGAATACCATGATGCTCTCGGTGTGGGTATGGCAGGACAACTGACCTGAGGATATCAGAAATGAACTTCCAGTGTTTTGACAGGCCAAACCGGGATCTCGATGGTCCAGTATCGCAAGTTGGAAGTCAGTGTCCCCATTGCCACCGAAGGACATGATATCATACCAAGACCCTGACAGCGCAGGCGGTATTCGCGTGTATTGGCACGTTACGATGTTCTTACAGAGAAAAGTGAAGTGAAACTTGGCGGCTGGTCGTCGTCTAGATGGCCATTGTCAGCGGTCAAGTATGGTTACGGTCAGAAGATGGAGCCGGAGACTTACGGAGACTAGCTAAAAATCCCTGGAGCTATTCCATCACGCAAGTCGAAAGGTGTCTTTTCTAGAAACCGCTGTTGTGATGAAGTGAAAAACTAAATGCCTGTTTATGAGGATAAACATCGATGCTACATCTGCCTTACCCCTGTGTTCTTTCGGCTTCCATCCCATGTGACCATCCTTCGAGCCAAGCTTCTGTGACAGCACTCAGTTATCCGAGCGATACATGGTGACTGGTAGGATGGAACATGGAGAGCGGACCGACAATTTTCGACAGCAGCCTAGACCAAGACTCGTAGGTATTGACCGCTTCGACCGTTCGGGGAGAACTAGGCTGATGGAGAGTTTGCATATGAGATCGGGCCTAAAATTCTGAGAACTTATGTTAGTGACAGAAGAAGGCAAGAGATGAGGGAGGAAACGAAACAGGACAAACCCTGTTCAGCTTTGAAGACGTTCCAGCTCATCTTTATGAGACAGAATGGCTGCTGAAGAGCATTGGACCTTTAGTTGATGCAAAGGCACTCTTGGATTGAGTAAAAAAGAAGTTCGCAACGATAAGAGCTGGGGTACCAGAATCTTGCGAGCAGGATAGGCTTCCCAAGACACAGCCCCTGTCCGGCCAACACGAGGCATCTAGGCTAACCTAGAATTCAGTTAAATATTAAGCGGAACATCCATTCAGACGAGCGACCGAATGTTGAAGTGAAGATAGTGGCTGGAAGGCCAGACTTGCTTCGTGACTAACACGGTACTTCCTCCAGAGCCGAGTTGAGCACCAAGTCGTCGTTCATGCAACCGAAGGTTGAAAGGTCACATCTCGCTATTCTGGGTATCTTGAAGTATGTATTACCGTATGATAACCTGGGTTGAACCGGGGTCTGTCATGTTCAGGGTGATTAGTGACTCGCTGGTGGTCTGGCCGGGGTCGGGTAATTGGAAACACATACCATGCTCCTTGGTGATCTTGCAATTGGGCAATGGGATACGATATTCGCTACCCATCCCATGGAGATTGGAGGTGCGAGACTCGAAGTCCACGACGTCGTCGTGACCGCCACCGCCATGTCAGGAGATGGTCATGGTGCTGCGCCACTTGTAGGCCTCACGAGCAGCCATGGCATTGATCGTAGTAAAAGAGGACGATCGCTGAATTCCCTAATTTGCTTGTACCCAGGAATACATTTATGAGCATCCAAGAACTTGTTGAGAGTTGTAACCACTGAACACTGGCGAAGGGGTCATTCGAAGGGTCTCAGAACTGCCCTGAAGGGAAGTGAAGTATCGGCACCGGCTTGCGGCGCATATATCGAAGAAGCAAGGTTCGGAGATGGCAGCATTGGACCTACTACACTGGGAAGGGGCGCATAATGGTCACCTGGGCGGTACTCGTGAGGTGTCTGTAAGGCATCAGCAAGATAGGTAAGGAAGCTGCGGCCAAGTTCTTGGACATACCTTCGGACCATGCAGCAAAGTGTTCCATCTGCGAACGCTCAATGACGAAGTAACAGGCCGGTTGCAAAGGACTGCACGTAGTAGCGCCGGAGTGAAGAAGCCCGGGTTGAAAGCCATGCTATTGTTGAAAGCAGGTATCCGGAGCCAGGGGCGCTACACAGGCAACTTAATTGTGTTCAGTCCTATCAAGAGAACCAGCACGACGCCGACGTAATTCTCTTGGCTTTCTTGACTGAGAGGATACCGTAGCTGCAGTACCATGTGGTGGCTGTTGTCCAAGATCGAGCCTGGATAGCCGGTACTGTGGTGGAAGCATGCCCAACAGACTCATCACTAGATAAGTTGTTTCTAGTTGCTCTTGATGAGACATAGGTATAGCCTCGGAGAGAGCCATGGCGAGGGTTCGTGGTAGCCGGTTGCCAAGTCTCGTAATTTGCCCCTGAGGTAGCCTACGATCACTCTGAATTAGTCAGGTTTGGTACTGAGGACAAAGGAATCATAGACGGGCACTCACAATGTCAAAAGGCTGATGTATCGGATGCTTGATCAGTAACAGCGCTGGAGATGCTGTGATGGAGAGACCTGACATGACCGCAACCTCCTTCTAGGGTGGCGCGGTGCTGTCATCAAATATCATAGGCACCGAGTGAAAGACAACAGAGCAGCGAGTGTCGTTGAAAAGTGATCTTCAACCACAAGGTGGGGGACTGACTAGGTCGACAAGCCCCCGAATGCCTGCCAGCATATTGCAAGGGGTCGGCGCATGGCCACGACTGGCGCTGCCACAAGCCCCACGATAATAGACGCAATGGATAATGGCATGTAGGGCCTCAAAGATATAGCGCTATCAGAGGTAATACTCTAGTCGGAACAGAACCTCGCTTGGGAGCTTCTGAACCCAGGGGGGTTGTTGAGTCGCCTTGGAAAGATTGAACACCATTGGCCGCATCTGGTGACTTGAGTTATCAGCTACAACTGGAGGAGACGAACAGGATACGAAGAGCGGCCAACATACCTTGGGAAGCCTTGAATCGTGTCAATGAGTGCGGTTTGGCCTTGAGTGCGCAAGAGTCGGTTACACCTAAACACCTGCGGCACGCCTTGGAGTCGAAGCTGGGTCCCAAGATTGAAGGTACGGAAACTCCGCAAATGCTGTATTTCGAGGCAGGTAAAGCGCTAAGAGTCTCAAGCCTGTGTTGGATATGGTGGTCGAGTGTGTCACGCATCGAGCTCCAGGATCTGCGTGGCTAAATGTTTCTCTGGAATAAGGGTCTGCTTTGTTGCTAGGGAGCTACAAGCGACTAGAAATTGCTTTCTTCATGTACGATGACTGCAGTTGGCGTACAAATTGTGTGTTTTGCTGGAGTAGATTCGAAGCCGTCTGGCGAGGTTGGGACAATGTCGGCTAAGTCCAATCATCTAGGTATATATGAGATGCTAGAATAGGAGAAAGAGTTGGAGTTGCCTTTCCAACCGGAATGGCCTTGGATGCAGGCACTTGGACTTCAAGAGAACGTACCAGAGCTTTCAGCATATGAGGACCTTGGGGTCATTAGACAGACTTGGAGAAGAGAAGATTACCGAGAGAGTTCCAATGACTTGAAGCTATGAATGTAAAAGGAAAGAAGGTTGATAGAGTAACTAGTATGCCTGTGCTACAATGGTGATTCGAACAAAAGATGGGAGTGGCCTGGGACAAGCCAAGGGGTCGTCAAATCAACTGTGAGGATTGTCTACATCTCGTAAAGACCGACTGGCCACGGACTGCAAACCTACTAAGGTAAGATAAAAGGCTGGCAAATATGTCTGGGCCCCAGAGGGTTCGCCATTGGTAGGTGGGTAGCCCCGTGTAACAGAAACGAGTTAGGTAGCCCCGCGGGGAGGCATATCCGCTATGCAACCAGCCCTGGAGCTGTCCGCTCGGATGCCTACAGTTCCTGCTCGTCTTTGAGGCGTCCAATGTTGAACGACCCACTCGTGACTTGCCCAACACAGGGTCTTGCCCAAGAAATCGTCGAGTGTTGTAACTGCAGGGCTTGCATACTTCACCTCCCCACTTTGCCATCTTAGGGGTTCTTTTCTTTTCCCTCATCCATGCCATCAGAAACACCAGCCATGCTCCAAGAAAATATTATTCATTATTATTATGCTCAATTGTCTATTGCCTTTACTTATAACTCGTTTGATGATATCTCATCATTCTTCACATTTCGACTTCACGTCACTTTATCACTCACTCTGGAATACCCAACTTCCTGAAGTCGCTCTCATCCTCTCGAGTGAGCCTAACGCGTAATTCTTTTGAGGTGAGGCCCCAAACTGACTTCTCTTAGACTTCACTTCACTCGTTGCTGCCAAGATATCTCGGCCAGCTCTCGTCTTGTCCTGCATGCCATTGCCAGATACCACCCCTCAAAGCTAGGTAAGTTTCTGGAAGCACGAGATGAGCGCGGATGATTTGAGCTGGTCTCCTCTTCGTCTTATTTTCGTCTGAGCTGGATTGGGGGTGCTGACATTTACCGCCACAGTACTGGATCAAGCTTCTGCATTCGCCAGTAACGGATCAGCACATGGACCGACGAGTCAAGCCTCCGGATGCCCAAGGCCCAGGTGCTTGGGGTCCAAGCTCAAGCAGAAACTCATGCTGCGCAGAATAAACCGGCAACCATACACAGCCTAACCTTGAAAGGCCCCAAGTTCAACGCCCTCAGTCTCAAGTAGTCATCCACTATGGACAAAAGGGACTACCTCTTGGATCTGCAACCCGGAAAACTGCAGCTACGAAGCCCTTCGACCAGCCGTCGGGCTTGGCCAGGCCCTATTTTCAGTATGCAGAAGGCCTCCTAGTATTCACCCCTACGGTTTGCTGACACCACTTGCTTAGTAGTAGGGCCTCGTCTTTCCGCTTGAAAAAGCAAGTGTGGCGCCTTAAAGGCCAAGGAGGTCCCCATTGGCCTGTGAGCCCGGACATGTTTGAGAGCAATGACTATCTGCGCTTCGACCTTGAGCATCCTAGACAGGCAGTCTTTGTCACTACAAAGTACAACAGCTGTGAGAAGATGGAAGAGGGTGTCGACGAGGTTGCGGCCGAAATGAAAGAGACGCCGGGGTCATGGGGCCACAAAGAGTCCTTAACAATGGACATGTCAGAGCCACCATTTCAACTGCTACCGAACTCGTCGACGCCGGAGTAAGGAGAATGAGAGATCCTGAACGCTGGACATGTTTGAGACGAGTGATTATCTTCGGTTTGATCTGGAATATCCACGGCAGGCTGTCAATATCCCAACCAAGTACAACAGCCTTGAGAAGATGCAGGAAGATGTGTGCGAAATCATCTCTGGACTGTTGTACTTGGTTGAGATCATCACAGACTGTCGTGGGTGTTCAGGATCAAAGTACAACAGCCGAGAGAAGATGGAAAAAGGTGTCGAGGAGATCGTCGCAAAGATGAAAGAAAGGCGGAAGAGATTCGGAGTGGTGGGAGCACTTTAATGTCAGGTTTAAGGGGTGAAAACAAGCTTCTGGTGTCTCAGCTGCAAATAACACATCTAGCTCACAATTCAAGCATATCCCAAAATACCCCACTGGTTTCTGCAATGTCTAAGTCATGACTTTTCTGACCCCCTTTCAGAATGATATGCTCCCTCTAGCACGACAAGACAGCAGGATGATAGCGTCTCGGTTTCGCGAACTACCCCAAGCAGGACCGTAGGCGGTCCCACAAAGGCTCAGATTTATCCATGGACTACAAGCCTGATGTGAGAATGGGGTCGTCACCACTACATGTGAACTCGTCGACTCGATCATGGTTGAAATATCTTAACCGACAAGAGCACCAGTAGCATAACAACTTGCCACACAAGGATTAGAAAGTCTGCCGGGGCCTTTAAAGCCCCCCTAACACTTCGAATATTGCGCTGTATCAAGTTTCTGACTATTCTGGGTATGTTGAGAATCAAGTCCCTTTGTCATTTTTTGTCGTAGTTAACGTTTTGGTTTCAAAAGGGTTCTCCACATGGAGGATAACGAAGGGAAGATGGTCGGGCCAATTTCAGGTCTGCAACAACGAAGTCATGTTCAAAGTGTACGTAACGACTCCTGAATGTCAATACTAGATTGGAAGAGAAACCAGAGCATTTGATCTACACTCTACCTAAATTATGAGAGCCCAAGAACTCTGAAATGGATCACGGATGATGGCGTATAAAGAATAGGTATGGATGCTTGTATTCAAAGGTCGAACTCCCCAACCCCCCCTTCCCCTCCCAGCAGTTGTTCCAACGCCGCTAGACCGAGAGACATTTCATCGGGCGACAGTTTTCCGAGGTTTTTAGTTTTCCGAGGTTTTTAACTTTAGAATACAAATTCTCTTCTAATTCAAGCGTTGAGTATCCTTTGTGAAGCCCAAGACAGTTATGCTCGCTCCTAGTTCTATTAAGCTGGTACTGACCACCCACTTCACATTACACCAACAGGGCGGCACTCAACTCCATTTCCAAAGATATTTGATGCCTTTATTCTTGATGTAAGTGTTGAAGACGGGATGAAGTTCTTAGCAAAGTTGACTGCGATACTTGGCGTGTCTTGCGAGCGGCGGTCGTTGGACTCAGGGGCTGAGCGGAAACTGAAATCTGAAATCACCGATAGAAGTCAGCACACCACATATTTCTTGACCATATATAAAGGGAATGTAGATGATTATACTTGGATTATGATTAACTATAAGTCATCGGCATAGGAGGCCTCAGAAAAAAAAGCGCCGCGTCTGAAGAATCGATGAATCTCAACCAAAAGCTCATCTTCAAGCGCTCGTGAGTATACTGTGTCCAAAGTAATTGTCTCTACATGTTTTGGCAAGATTGGTTACCCATAATGATGACAAGTTCGAGTCATTGGTGTCCTCGTTCCTGGCCGGTCCTCAGGGGCGGGATCTGTGGATAGCGCCAACTTACTCCTTTGATTCTAGCGCTTGAGGACGAGGATCTAGTCACGCCGTAATACAGCAGCTTACTACTGATGCATATAGCAAGTCGAATTTGTAGTTGTTGAGCGTGTGCTCGGTGTGGTGCAAGGCGATTTGGTTGCCGATCCCTGTACTCAGCGTTACCCCTGAACAGCCCCTGAGCCATTCAAGGACCAGTCCGTTTGACTTATGTTTGAATTTCAAGTAATTGGAGACTGAACAAGCTCAAGGGAACTTGGAAGTGTCATTGAAGACCAGGGAGTCGAAGTGTTACGCCTTCTGAGCTATCTCGCGGCAGCTCTTCCTGTCCTTTGGTTGCAGCGTTGCAAGATCGATCTTGGGGCAAGGGATGGGGAGTCGGAGAGAAGCAAAGCAGTCCTGAGCTTCTGGTACTATCTCTGTATGTTTCTGATGGTCTGAGAAGCAGAAGTGTCAGTCTGATGCTTTCTCCCGTGTCTTCTTGGACTTGCCTTCCCACAAAGGCGCTCAACACAAACGAGATACTTACAAACCAATGACCTGGCGGCTTTTTTGTCTTGATACTCTTCTTGTCACAGATATCTCATCGCAAAAGGATAGAAGCGACCTGTCTCACTTCCATTGCTCCTTGAAGGGCTCGCGCTGGCCGTCTGGCTCAAGAGCGCCGCGCCCCCTGAATAGATTTGCCCTTCTTCCCGCTACATCGAATGCTTGTGGTGATAGAGAAAGAAGATAGCCTGGAATAGGTGACTGCGATGCTCCCTGTGTTGTGTGTGGTTGAGGAGGCGCTGCCGTTGAGGTTGCTGCTTGGTCGTTTATCGGATGTCGTCTCGTATACCGTCTCACATGTTGTCTCATGATCATCTGCATTTCATGACAGTCAGTGCGAGTAAGAAGCTTGGGAACATGGATTACATACTGCCTCGCGGATACATTGGCTGTTGTGTCTTCTGTAGAGCGACCCAAAAATGCGACATGCACGAGCGTTAAGACATCAGTCACCACTGTCACCACTAACCACGAATTTCAACATGTGAAATAAAGGCCGAAGCAAAGGGGGGTCGACAGCCTTTGTGCTGAGCAAGTTTGCATAGTTGTATAAGGACAGGCTTCGTTGATTGCTGCGAGTATCAAAGAAATACCGGAAATCAGGGACCATGACCAAAAGGCTGGGGCAAACACATTCATATAAAACAAAGAACGCAATCCCTGAATAGCATCAAATCCACTAATGGTAGGGCGAAATTTAATACTACAGGGAGGCTGTAATGCTAATGACGTACGGTTTGCATGGACTTAGTGGAGGGGTAGTTCTGGCAGCGAGTCCCAGGGGCCCAGCGTTGTGAATACCCTCGCTCGCACCGTCGGACACTCAACAACCGAAACACCAACACAGCATATCTACAATACAAAGATCACTTTTAGAATACAGTCAAGATTAGAGAACGAGCGAGGATAGTTTATTTCAAAAGTGCATGCATGTTGGAAGTATCATCGTGGAGTAACAGACCGGCATATCTATACATACGGTATATACGGAACACCATCACGAAAGGCCTCAACACCATGTTGATATCATGATCAATAGAGAGATACGACCTCATGGGGTGCATAAAGGCGGTCGTAGCTTACGAAGTCACGAGCGGGGTGGAGGGGTCCCAAGCCGATCATTGGCCTCAACCTGGAAGTTCAAGACTCAACCACATCGTGACATCACGAGACCTCAAGCGGACCACACACAACCTGAACGCACAAATATTAATTCAAAGAAGAAGAACGAAATTAGATATGCAGGAATGGCCTCGTGAATCAAGGAGAGGAGAGAAGCCGTTGCCGGGGTAGCAAGAGATTGAGACGCGTTGGCCGTTGAGCTTCAGGGACTGAGCCGCATATATATCAGACTCAATAGGGGGCTGGATGAGTTTAATAGGGGAACTACACTGTTTATATGTCTCTATTACACGTGGGTTCCATCCGCTGAGTCTCTGTCAACCAATAAGTTCGCCTACTACGTCCCTGCAACTTAGGCCCCTGAGGCTAGTTTCTCCTCTAACTTGGCCTACAACTCACCTGTCTGTTCCTGCCATTATTCCTACCCGCACCCCGCCTATTCACGACTTGTGCTGAGGCAGCCCCGCTCATGCATTCCCCTCTTAAGTCCCTCCCAACTTCCCTTCCCTTCCTCCCTCTCTTCCTTTCTTCTTCACCCACCACAACATCATTCCGCTTCACTATCCGACTTGGATGTGGAAAAGGATCTTTGGGTTTTGATCTCGGTCGCATTTTCTTCTTTTCTTTCAGCTTCTCAAGAAGCACGTATACAAATCAAACTTCACATTTCATCTACTCATCATTTTGTTGTGCCATCTTGCCATCCTCGATCAGACAACATGTCTTCTCGTGCAGACCCTCGTGTCTACGCCAACATGTCGTCTCCTGCCGAGGGAGCTGCAGACTCGATCCAGGGTACTCCCAACACCCAGATCACCGTCTTTTCTCCTGCCGAGAGCTCTCAGGGAACCTCCATCCAAGGCAATAACTATGTTGCCCAAAGCCAGGCCCCCGAAGACCCCTTCGTGGATCGCCAGGTTGCCCAGGTCAGTACCCTTTCAGCGACTGCCTCTACTTTTCAACCCCGTGGAGTTCGCTCCAAGGGGAAGAATGCCGCTGTGTTCTACCCAGAGGGCAGCCCTACTATCGCAGGTGCGCTTAGTCAGGACATGGACATCTCGCACCGGATCGAGGTCTGCGATACGCCCGCGCCCTCCATCATCGAGCTCGGGAATTTCATCACTGTAAGTATCACTTGGTCTCTTAAATAACAGGCGGTATACTTACAACGTTACAGGAGCTCAATCAAAAGGGAGTCAAGTTGCACGGCGGGCGCAACCTTGAGACCACCGGAGAACATGTGTACGTTGTCTTCGAAGATCTCCGCGACGCCGCCTGGGCCTTCTACGCCATTCGCAAAGCTTCCAAGGGCTGGTTCACCGCGTACGTGAAGATCAGACCAGAGCGCGTAAGTTCTTCTCTTCATACCATCTCTTCATTCTTTTGCTAACTATATTGTACAGCTGGACCTTGGCCTTGTACGATTCTCTGAGCTTAGACAGCTCAGCATCGAGGTCAATATTCTTAACTTCGCCATCATCGATCCCGCTCATGTCGATGAGATCTCTCAGCGAGCCCTGAACGTCTACGGACAACTGTTTGCCCTGGTGCGCAACTTGAGCTTCCCGAACGGAGCCTTCCGTGGTGTCGCCCAGTTCTGCAAGGCGGCCGACGCCTTTATCGCCTTCAAGGCCTTTGGAACCGGCATCACCACCGGCGTAAGTCTTTTTCACAATATTCTCTTCCTCCTTCTCAGTATCTCTTCTTCTTCTCTCCCCATGTATCATCCCTTCTCCCTTCTCCCTTCTCCATAAGCTCCGCCTTGCTCCGCCTTTGGCGACCTCTCCCAATGTTGTATTCTCTAACCTGAGCAGGGTGTTGTCATCACTCTATCCAAACCAGAGGACGTTGGCAGTGCAGACTCCTCCGTCGCCGATCACCTTGCTTCGAACATGCAAAACATGTCCCTTCAGCAGGCTTCTCGTAGTATCGAACGCGTTCGACACCAGTCTATCTACACGATGAACGCCCCCCAAGGAAACCCCTTTGCGGCGGCTGGTGCGTTCCATATGCCGTTCCCGCCAGAATTCCACCAACAGCAATTCACTGGCCAGCAGTTTGGCCCCCCTCCCACGACTTCCAACAGCCTTGTTGCTCAGAGGGATGTCGGGTTCCCAAACTTCAACGGCTTTGGTCGCTTCGACCCACGCCGAAGTGCGGGCCGCTACGGTCGTGGCTCTCGGGGTCTTAACAACATTGTGGACATCAATGAACTTGTCGCTGGACGGGATGTCCGGACAACTGTAGGTCCTTCCATCCTGTCTTGCATCAACATCAGCTCTGACCTTTTGATAGATCATGCTCCGGAACATCCCGAATAAGGTGGACCAGCCCCTCCTCAAGCGCATCGTTGATGTATCCTCATTCGGCAAGTACGACTTTATGTACTTGCGAATTGACTTCGCCAACGATTGCAAGTAAGTACAAACCCCAGCAACTCCTGACTCCAGCACTGACCATCCCCTAGCGTCGGCTATGCGTTCATCAACTTCGTCAAAGCTGAGTATATCATTGATGTAAGTTATCCTCGAGATAGTTGTCCTCTTGTTGACATGCTAACTCCTCAACAGTTTTTTCAGGCTCGGGCCAATAAGCGATGGAATTGTTTTAGATCGGACAAAGTCGCTGAGATTTCTTATGCGAGTAAGCTTTAAATTTATCTCTTCTTGTATCGCAGTCACTGACATACAGCAGCTATCCAGGGAAAGGACTGCCTTGTGCAGAAATTCCGTAACTCGTCTGTGATGCTCGAGGCTGAGCATTATCGTCCCAAGGTCAGTTACCGATGGCTTACTATTCACCATCACCAGCTAACAGATACAGCTCTTCTACACTATCCACAGCGATGAAAACAAGCTGGTTGGTCAAGAGGAGCCATTCCCTGGCCCGGACAACCAGTCCAAGATGAAGCGCTCGGTGGAGAACGCTGAGCATGTCGGTACGTAACCCCTCACAATCAACCACAATGACAAGGCACTGACACTCATTACTATAGGATTGTTCACTCCGACTGCTGGACAGTACTTCCGCGATGAACAGAGACGCCGCCATTCGCAATACGATCGCGGTACACGTCTCGCTGAATTGGAGGAGATCTCCTACGGATCCTCGGTTGGCCCCTACTACGGTCGCGGCCGCTACTAAGCGTTGGACATTGCCCAAAGATCATCTTGATTTTTGATCACTTTTTCAAAAGTCATCTTGAGGTTTGGAGTGGTTGGCTCTCTTGAGAAGTTGAGGCCTTTGGCACGATGGCCATATCTAAATTTTCGACGACCGTTGGTGGTTGAATGGTCTTACTATTCTGCAGTATCTTCGTTGGTAGAATCTTCGTTGGACTCCTAAGTAGCAGCAACTGGTAGCAGCTATGACGCACGTAGATACTTTGCAGCAACAGAATAGATTTCATCAATCAAGCTTTGGGATGTGCTTTGTGACAGTAACATTGTAGCGACACTCACTAAACAGACGCCAGATCACGATGGCCATAAACGTTTCAAGTTCAATTGTAGTTTCATGACACTTTTCTTTTTATTGATTCTAGCTAAGATGTTGCCACCTGTCATGGAGAAGATGGATTCTCGGGCAGAGCTGGTAATGGTTTTCGTGAGTTGGTTGGTTGCGGGATTGAGCGACGCAACACATTCGGCTGTGTGTCGTGAGAAGGGGGCGACAGATCAGACGATGAAGAAAAGCCTCCAGAAGATCTTGGCGTTGGAGGAGGTGAAAGCTGCTCGCATTCAGCACGATCATGATGCATGTCGTCGGCAAAAGGCCCTCGATGTAGTTCAGTAGCACCGTCGTCTCCTCTTGATGTCGGAGCATATTGGGCTCTCTGGCGGGCTGCCAGTGACGATGCATCTTCTCCGTCGTATGCACTTCCATGCATGGCTCGAACGCGAGCCGCTGATGTTGCGCCGTCGTAGGAAGCGAGACTGGCCTGATCTGAAAAGGGTGCCAGGTGGTGCAGTGGCACGCCTCGGGAGAAGATGACGAGGATCAGACATGACATGAGCAACACGGCTTGTATTATGGCCATGCGTTTCTGAAATACGACCTCGTCGGCCAGGAGGTTGAGACGAGCACTGAGAGCAACTATCTCTCGGTTGGACTGCTCGCGCTGACTCTCCAGAGCCAGGACCGTTGATTGCCAGATCTGGTCGTACTGCTCACGAACGGAGCGCAGCTCGGCGAGGACGGTCTTGTTGAGGTTCTCGAGGAACAGTGTTGTTTTTGAAAGTTGCTTCTGCTCTGTACGGTGAAGAGTCTCTGACATGTGACGAGCTTGGTCCTCGACGTATTTGAGGGAGAGGGTGAGGTTAGTTTCGACGATTGTAAGGCGCTTGGATATGGACTTGAAGAATCCTTCTTGCACAGTGGGCGAGGCTGGTGAACCGGAGGCCGTTCCCGTGGAGCCCTTCTTGGCGTTAACAGTATTGGCGGGAGAGGGCTTCTGAGTAGATGATGTTGTAGAGGAAGAAGGCGTTGCGGTCGTTTTTATGCTTGCTGTCGAAGTGGTGGAGTTTGATGCGGATTCAATGTTTGAGGATGAGATGGAGGATGGGCTGGTTGGGGATACAGCTGGCGTGGCGCTTGGAGATACCGTCGTAGAAGATGATGAGGCCGTGGGCTCTTCACTTGTAGGGTGCTCTGACCGGGGGGTGTGCGGTGTTGAGGTTCCTTTTCGTGCTCTTTCATCAGGGGAGTTGGTTGTGGATGCAGCGCTGGTGACTTCAACAGAGCTGCTGTGGTTTGAGATTGGCTGTGTTGTTTGATTGAGTGAGGCAGAGCAGAACAATGGCTCAAAAAGAAGTCGTGAGGCCGTGTTGACTTCACAGAATGGCATTGAACCCATCGAGTTCGGCTTGACAGGCTCAGGAGGACTCTCAGGTTCTGAGGGTTTTGTCGACTCTTCCCCTGAAGGGAGGGCTTGGGGAGTCACTTCAGCCTCTTCAGCCTCCTCACTCGCATCCTCGTCACGAGCTTCGTTCCATGCTGCGAAGAAGCGCGAGCCATGGATTCGAAGTAATGACACCGGGCAGTAGTATTGCTTCCCGTAATGGGTGAGATAGTCGATCCGGACATACTTGGAGAAGATCTGAGGGTTCTGAATTAAGAAGGGCTGAATAGCTCGTGAATTTTCTGCCTGAAAGGTTCCGAGCTGTTTCCACTCGTCCATCTTGACTGGGTACCGGTCACTAACGCTGACAGTGAAAGTTTGGATCATACTAGAAAAGAACTCGAAGTTGGCGAGGACGACCGTATCGATGAGGACATCGTCGCTCAATTCGACAATAAACCACTTCTCCTTGGCACTACACTCGAAGAGCAGATAAGAGTCTTTGTTCTCGACGAGAATTGCCTTTGCATTCCTTGCACCGGGGCTCGTCTTCAGAATGGTGGCGCCGGCATCAAAGGACGAGTATGAGAACCGTTCCTTGCAAGTCTTGCCAGCATCTTTGTTCCTATGGGTTCCAACACGGCCATCCTTCCCTGCTCCCTCGTGCTTAGCCTGGTCGACATCTGAAGGACGCTCCTTTTGCTCCCCGGTGTCATCCATATAGCTGCCAAAATTCAGGGATATCTCATCTTCCTCGCCGAGGCCAGCGTAGCCCATGTCCGGGGGTGTCCTGTCGCGGGGTTTGGCGTTCCTGGCTTGTAGATCTTTAGGGTCCTGCCCTGTCTGTTTCAACATCATGGCCTTCCAGTCCTCGAAGGACATGAAAGGCTTTGCATCTCCATCTGCAGCGGCATCTTCCGACTCGTCCTTTGCGGGAGTGGCGGTGGACGCTGACGATTGGGGCTGGGATTGGGACTCGCTTTGTGTGTTCGGCGGTGGCGCATCGCTTTGTGTTGAGTCGGGGGGTGCGTGGGCAGTCGAATTGGCATCTGAAGGGGTTGCGCCCACAGAAGTGCTCGTCCAGGAACTTGTGAGACAAGCTTGGGGCAGCGTGTGGGTGATGTAGTTGATGGTTCTGGCATCGCAGGTCAGGTCGATCGGGTCAGGGATGACATTGGGTTCGTGGTTCTGGGCCTGGGTCTGGGCTTGTGTCCAGGCTGTGATGAGTGCCAGGGATCGTAAAACGGCTGAGCCTAGCGAAGGCATCGTGACCTCAGGTGTTGGCGGCACATTGAAGCGTCGCTGAGGTCGAATTGCTGGAATTGACGTTGAATTATGGGGGTTGGGTTTGTGTCGTGTCGTTGATCAGCGTTGGACTAGACACGAAGTGGGTGTAGTGTACCCCGTAGCCCAGGCTCGTTTAGCTTCAGCGTGGCCCACTGACGTCGTCAGACGCTGATTGGTGTACCAACGATAGAGTATCTGTTGATTAGATCATTAGTTAGATCGAGGTATAAATAGAAATTGATCGTTGGTGACTTAGACGGAAACACTTACCACTTTTTACTTCTATAATCCATGAAAGACTAGAAAATGGGGGCCTGCTTAAAGACGTGACCATGTTGTTGAAGCTGATGTTGCGAAACAGGCTGGTTTGACATCAGACGGAGAGGATATGAGAAGAAAAGGACCAAGCTGGTGGATATTCGGCAGCAATGGACTATGTGTTTGTTTTTGAAAGGCTCGAAAGTTTAGCCTGAGACGTATAGAAACCTGGGCAGAACACAATCAGCTGTAGGCATCTGAGGATTGACGTAATTTCTTTCACTGTGTGTTATGTGCTTCAGAAGAACGACTTCAGGGGATAGCTGCAGTATCAGACGTGAACTTGAGTTCAATGTGCTTTTAGGTTAAGTGTAACAACACGGAACAACTAAAACATACAGATTCTACTATAATATTCAATAATTCCGAACTGAGATGGCGGTGATCTTTAGGGTAGGTAGGTAACATGTGGCGATATGATATTCATGTAGTTGCATTTGCTTGAGACCAGCAAAACAGGTTGCTTTAGAGCAAGCTGCTGGGGTGAATAAATAGAAGTTAATTTTAATAATGCATTGACAATGTTTTCCAGTATCGGTTGCCTGTCATTTGAGTCACAGCTGGCCGTTTGCACGGATGCCTAGCCTGTTGTAGTAAGATTCTATCGACTACCCCTCGTGGTTGTTGTTGACACTTTACTTGGACCTTTATCGAAATTCAATTCAAGATTGAAAACGCAGCACCGATCAGCCTAATCGAAACTCGAATATCCTGCACGTCTGTATTACAGTAATCTTGCTATTTACTGCCTTCTGCCTCATTGCTGCATGACCGCGCCGCCGCATGTGTTTGAAGGGGGTGCTGACATGCAGCTACCCAAATCCCGACCTCGCTGCCATTGAAAGTCGAAAAGCTCGTTATTGTTGATTCACTGTGAGTTCCAAGAAGCTAGAGTGAATATAATTTACTGACCAAGTGCGTTATCAAAAGGCTTCATCTTTTCACATCTTCCGCGTTCACGCGCGCGATTCGTGCCGTATCGCGACTTGGCACAAAAAACCAAAGATATCTTTTTCTAGCAACACACAAACAGCTTTCGGCGCATCCATATTCCCCTTACAAAAGAGCCATAGAGAAGCGATTGTCTATGAGATATTACATGAAGGATCAAAATCAAACTCAACATTAGCCAAAACCGCTCTATGAGACCCTTAGATCGACTGAATTCTCCAAGAACACGAGTTTAGGAGCCAATTTTCAAAGCCTTCCAACTAATCTATGCCTGTCATTGCTTGAGTTTGGTAATTGCGATATTCGTATTGCGAGCTGGGGGATTTCAATTTTCGCGATTCACAGACCAACGCTTACCGACGACGGACACCTTGCTCAACTTGGGCCTTTATCCGAGCCACGCCGCAGTGGTGCCTGAGACCTCGACATGCCAAGAACAAAAGTTACGAAGTCCTTTTCATTCTTATTTTTACGCGGAAATGGCCACGAGGGTTTCGAAAGAGATTCTGAATCAATCGAGAGATGAAATTGGCTTGGCTAGCTTGGGAACATGTAGGAAGAACAAACTGTGTGCACCAACATCACACATGAATCCCCGACAGCCAGGAGTCGACGTTCGATATCACTTGACGTTAGATGGGAATGCGGCCGCAATCGACCTAATCCTGATAAACCCGCTCTACCCCATATCCAGTTAAAACAACTCTAACCAAAGACAACAGCCAAAATGACCATCCCTTGATCTTCTACAGCAGCGTTGAATTAGCGTGGGATTTCTACCCGCGTGAAATTGCGCCTTTGCCGCAGCCTAGGCTCACATAGGACAGCAATGCGATGGCCGGGCGAGAAACCCCTGGAGCTTAACGCTTGGCATACACGATATGTCCATGCTAAAAAGAAGCCACAATCCCGTCGATCTTCAACCTTATCTACCAGCTCCTTATGCGAGACCCCTGATTTACTATGGGTCCTCAAGAATTCGAACTCAGGTCGGTGGTTACTCTCACCAATGATCCAGATGGTGAGCCTCGTCGACCACGGCAATCTTCGAGCTTAGCAAAGGACAAGCAAGTCCTTCGTTATTACAAACGCTCATTATGGATCTTCGGGTTCTATCTCCTTATTCTCGTCCTGCCGTGGATCTTTACCTGTGTTTTGATGATTAGGCCTATCGACAAGGAATCATACTTCAACCAGGCGGGATCAATAACCCCCCGAAACGTGGACAATTGGTACAGATCGCGAGTTGCTCTCAGCTCTCTCACTGCAATCTCAAGTGTTATTGGACTCCCAATAGTTTCTGGCCTCCTCGCTCATGGCGCGGTTGTCTATACCCAGCGTCGAAACGCAGACCAGAAATTGAGCGTCTTGCAGCTGTTTACGCTGGCGGATAGAGAATGGCTTAACCCTCAATATCTCTTCAAACCTCCAAGCAAGTTCAAGAGTACAGAAAGATCACTGTATCTCTGGCTGGCGACTTTTCTCATCCTGGTCAGTAAGTCCAGACTACACCCTGATCCTTCACCTTAAATCCCCCATGCTGACCTTTTCTGAACAGCCGCCATCCAGCCGCCTATTCAAGCCATCCTAGTCCGAGACGAAAGAATCAGCGTTGTGACGTGCAAAGGGCATCCCGCGAGGGACAACGATCACGATTCAGGAGCTTGTAAATATCCTTTCAAGGATCTGGATACCCAGGTCATTGCGCGGGACGCGGAGCCCATCGATCTGAACTTCTGTCCACAAGACGTTGTCGTCAAGAAGACCAGCCAGAAGCTACTCAGCTCCGCCAATAACGATATCCAAACCAACTTATGGCCTGATGAGGCTTCCATTGGAGAAGACCCAAACTACTACATGAACAATAGGCGGACTCTTGAGTGGTACTACGAAAAGTCGACATACGATAAAGGCAAACGACTATATTATGCGTCTTCTGTCGCCAACGGTACCGCCACTGGAGTTTATCGGCATCACGCAGTCAGGATGGACTCCAAGGCAAAGTGTTACTTATCCAAAGATTTACCGAAAGAGTGCAAAGGAGACAAACCATTCGCGCCATCTTTCTCCGAGGGCTGGCTGAATGTCGAAATTTGTGCTGAGGGAAGTTATGACACTGTGGCTTGGAACACAAGTCGAGACAAACAAGAACATAACGAGACTTTGTGGTTGTCTATGAAATGGGATATTCCTGAAAGTGAAGACAGCTACGGAGTTTATCGCAACAATGATAGCTACGTCCTCAGATGCGATAGCGTTTCAAGAAGAGGGTGGTTCCAGCTCCCGAATGACGCAAATGGCGGAAAGCCTGGACCCTTACGTGATGAGTGGCCTTCCTGGCGAGAACTCAAGTACGAGTTCAACGATTATTATATCGATAGCCCTCAGTGGGATCGCAAATTTCCAGGTGACAGGTATCCAGCAGCAGAGTACGTACCCATCCAGCTACAATGTCCCCTTTTCCGTCCCTGGCTAACCACTTATCACTGACTAGAATCTCGGACGAAGAACTGAAAGATTATCGTGATCAATCAAGCTACACCTACCAGGTCCCCCCTGTGCCTGGTCCACTCATGACGGTGGCTCTGGCTATGTTTGGAAATTCATCGTTCTTTCAAGCAGCCAGGGATGCTGATCGTGACACTTACAACCAGACCATCAATAACATCTGCGAGAACTCGTTGTTTCCAATGCTTGGAATGATGCAGCGTAATTACGATCTGGGCTGGTGCAGCCGTTCTGTAAGATATCGTAACAATACGCCGAGAATGCAGGACGTCATTTACAATTACTTCAACGGCCTCAAGAATGAAGAGGCCACCGCACAAGCGCTCGAAAAGGCCATGTTCTTTGCGAATGAAGCCCTTCTCACCACCGCCGCCTCGCTATCCCAGAACCGCCCCATCTTCTATAACCCGGGAACTACAGTCATGAAGCCAAAGAAGGACTTGGCGGCGATGGTAACTGTCACTACACTGATAGGTCTCCAGGTTGTGGCACTTTGCGCGCTGATGTGGTTCATCCGGCGTGCTCCTACGTGGACGGGGACTCTTGATGCAGATGCCCTGGCGCAGATTGGAGGTCAGCTGAAGGAATTGGGAGAGCCTAGGCCAGATTTGAAGCAGATAAATGGTATTGTGGGAGTTGATGAGACTCGATACCATGCTGAGGTGTCATCGGTGAGATTGTCGTCGGGGCAAGATGTTGCTTCGCAGTCAGGGTCTATACATCTGACTCTTGGAGGAGAGGGATTGGTCAACAGAGGTGTGATGACGAGGTTGCAAGCAAATACAACTACTGTGGTTCAAGCGTAGTGCATATATTTACCAATCGAGCTTGAAGCGGTCGAGACTCCGTTTCGGCAGCTGTTCCTTAATCCTACTGTCAGTGGATCCAATAATTCCATTCAAGATGAATGTTTGTTTTGCATTCGCGAGAGCAGAATCCCACTGGAGAATTGCGTAGCATATGGCGAACACAATCACCAGAGCGGAAGATAGAAAATGACTGAACGCGAGAAACTGAAGGGGAAACTCTTGGTTTGGCAATTGAACACTGAGTTGAAGGATCCTGAGATCAAAGTGATATGGGTTTACCTCCTCTGATACCTCACTGCTCGCCCGATATAGATATGAGGAAGAAAGTGTCGCCCTCTCCTCGAAGCACAATGACTTTTCTCTTCAAATGAATGAATGACTAAATGCACACTCATTCAGGACCATGACCTTGTACCTCAGATGATCATCATATCCCTTTCGTAGCATTCTGGTACTGGCGGCGACAAACACCTGCCTGTTTGGTGTTGGGATACTATGGATAGTTTGTCGTCGTCAGGCAAACTTGGCAAAGGGGACACAAACCTTTCAATTAACTGGTTAGGATTGGTCGTTGGAATCTCCCCTCGCCCTCATTGGTCAAATGGTGAGTAGTTGTTTTCCGATATGTCGGCCGGGGATGGCATTACTTTGATTTTCAGCCAAGCAGAAAAGAGCTTGAAGCTCTCGTACAGATTCAAAGGGATCTCCAGGCCGATAACTGGAGCTTTGACATGCTCACAGTTTCGGAACCTCAACTGTAGTGATATCGTCCAAGGATCAAATTAGATCTTTGCTAGGAGGTGGCTTGCTGCTAACAGCCATTTACCCTGTGGCAATTTTCACTAATCTAGCCCGACCTCTTGGTAGTTCCTCTGAGCAATCCCCGACTCGCCACCTGGTTCTCTCAAACGTTGAAGTCGAGAGTCCAGGATCAGCAACGGCAGTTTCCCTTCATTCGTTCGACTGATGGAGTGACAGAGTTTGTCAAGACTCAATTGCTCTTGTTCTGAATGTGTTTCAGGAAATTATAGCCAATGAGCAACTTTGTATCTCTCGGTGATGGCTCTTCCGTCACAAACCTGAGACATTTGTTCACCTACCCGTGTTAATGCCTGCTGACTGATTGACAGGTTGAGACGCCAACCATCTACGCTCTGACAGGGCATGCACCAGACCCCTGTCGATCGAAGAAGCATAAACCCAACCTTAACTTTTTGGAGAGAAAAGTCTCCAGTTGAAAGTCGAGATCTGAAACTCAGCCTTGATCTTTATCAGTTGTCTCTTATAGTTTCATCGGCTCCGCTTGTTCTGTTCTCTCGTCGGAGACTTGCAAGCTCGAAGCTCTGACACTTCATCCCTGCAAGAATTGAACGGATGAAAAAGAGCCCAGCTTGGCGTTCCAACTTCCGGGGACATGTTGCATTCTACCACGCCAGATCGGTATTATGAGACATTGCATTACGCTTTCGTATGGTATCGTCATAGGGCTAGCTCCGGCCTCTGATGTTGCCGGTGACAAGGGGTCCTTCATGGCGGTTTTGACATTCTCGGCCAGCACGGCTCTGGGGATGAAATGGGTCCGATCAAGAAACAACATTGAATCTGAGCTGACAATGTTTGCAGCAAGCTTTTCTATAAAGATAGGGAAGGACTCCCGCTGAAATAATTCGATTCTTCATCTCACAATCATCATCCAGTCCATCCTTCCAATTACCAGTCATTTCCTAAAGAGGTGAGTCTTGAACACTTCTTGACTAAACAACAAGTTTACTAACACTGAACTCCTTAGCTGTGCTCTTGTCGGCTTTCATTCCTTCCACCGTTTCGCCCTTAGAGCTGTGCTCAAAACTCTCATATACCCATTTGATATTTACTGTCCAACTCCAACACTCACTCACTCAACAACACACAACCAAAACAAAAACCATCTTCTCAATCCTTTCAAGATGAAGTTCTCCGCCTTCTTTGTTATCGCCTCTGCTGCGTTTGCCACCGCCGCTCCCGGTGTTTTCACTTTCTCTAAAGAGCGCGCTGCTCTCAACGAGAGTGCACCCGGCCGCGACCGTGAGGACGGACGTGCTGATCTGCGCGAGCCTGGCCGAGAGGAGGGCCGTGAAGGCGACCGTGAGGATGACCGAGAGGACCGAGAGGACCGAGAGGACCGTGCTGGCCGTGGTCGCCAGGATGATCGTCTCAACCGTGGCGGCCTTGCCTTCAGCCAAGTTGACCTCAACTACCTCCTTAGGGTCAACCAGCTCAACCTTGGCAAGCTCCAGGTCCTCAGCCAGCGAAACAACTTCAACGTCGTCGTCTTCCAAGATCTCTTCGCCTCTCGAGACTTCAGCCTCCAGTCTCTTCTCCAGCTCCAGCAACTCTCCACCATGCTTGCTATTGCCGAGACTGGTATCTTTGACCAGTTTGAGCTGTCTCGACTGGACCTTGGTAACCTGAACCTTGGACTTATTAATGGAATTGCTGGTCTCAACCTGGCACAGTTCATCGATGCTGCTCTGAAGCCCCAGATCACTATTATCTCTAAAGAGGGCAAGTGAACTACTCGAGCTTATTGTTTTCTCAAAAGCTAACTCTTCAATAGTCAACAACAACATCATCATTGCCAAGTAAGGATGCTGGGAGTCTACTCGATGAGGGGGCAGGTACTCCTGAATATGGGCAGGCTTCGGGTCAAGCCATACCCTTCATGTGTAATGAACTATCATCTTCAGGAAAGGATTAGGACTGGGCTCGCTATCTCATGGTCACTGGATGACTTGAAGGCGAGGGTACTATATAATGAATGAATCTAATGTTTCAAGTACTTTGAGTTGTCTATGATATTTCGTGAGACCCTTACCTCACTAGAGTGATCAGTAAACCTTTTATGATGATACATATCTCCCTTCCGATACATGCCTGAACCAGTTGTATTACTCGAATCTTGGTGTAGCCCTTCTTCCGTTCAACTCTTCGGAGGAACTATGCCTCTCCAAACTTGGTTCACTTTCTTGTTCCGTCTTTTGCTTAACATTATCTAAAGGCATTTCCGAGATAGATGCGTTGTGCTTCGGATCAGTTCCGCTGCCGCTCTTTATGTATCCAACAGCACTTCGCATCGGGTGCTTGTCTTTGATAAGTCGGAGGAGTGGCCTCAAAGTTGGGACACTTGCCGCCATGATGACTACGTTCTGCTCAATTCTTGTTCATGTTAACTCGAGTCTCGTTTGGATAGACAGAGAAAATACTTACAGGCCCCAGATGATCAAAGTTACAACGTTATACACTATAGCGGTCAGTTTGATGTCCAAAATAGCGTGGCGCTGTTCACCTACATGGGTCTGTTCTATCGTTGAACGTATCCAAGTATGTTGCTTTGATGATGGTGAAAATCGCAGAGAGAAATGTCAACCCCAACATGAAAGTAATCTCCAATTTCTCCTGCAGCTTAAGTTGCAGTTTCCAGAAAGCGTGTATAGGTACGATCGCAAGGACGAGATCGGTAAAGACAGTGAAACTGCTGACGACATAGGACGTGTAGTTGAAGACGTGCGGACTCCAGCATTCTCCTTTTGCTGACTGATCCCACAGCATCTTGGTCGGTCGGCACTGAACAAAGATGATGACTACTGATGCTAAGGCCAGGATTATCTGGATAGCTACGACAACGCGGAGGAATCGACGGGAGATGGTTTTCGTTTTGCCGACGAGTCGTTCGATGAGGATCACGATGGCCACGTTGGGAAGACTGTAGGCCATGATATTAAAGGCTAGACATGTATGAGCGATGGCACTGGTAACTGGAAAGCGTTGTACTTGCGATAGCCGATCACCTGAAGAACCTTTGTCTTGACCATTCTTTGAGCTCCTCCAGGTTCAGAAGCAACAGCTGCTGTGTGACGTCCCAAGCCAAGATCCGCAGAAGTTTGTACCAGAGCAGACGCAACGATACTACCAACCAAAGAGAATACAATCATCAAGTCATCCCAGCCAGGCCGACGAAATATAAAGGCTGTTGTAAAGAGCTTGGTCAGCACGGTGATGATGGCCATTCCGGTGAAGATCCATGCTATCAGGCAGAGTTTGGTCTGTTTTGAATCGGTTGAAACATTATTTGAATCCATTAAAAGAGCAAAAAAACTATTAATTGTAGAGAATCATGAGAATCAGATGAAGAGCAAAGACAATGAATCGAAAATCAATTGTCAATGTAGCCTTAATACCCAATTTTGGGACTTTCTTTTCAGGGACATTTTGTCACTCCTGTTATGGCCTGACCTTGCAAAATGCCTGCAATTGTCAAACCAACAGTCCAACAAAAGAAAATCCAAACATGAAGAGATATAATGCACCAACAGACAAACACGTTGAAGGTTGTTGGTTGCGAAGAAAACCCCTGCAGTTAGAGATGTCGCTCCGGATATGTCGAGTTGATCCACTGGGGACGGGGGACAATACATTGTAACAACCAACAACATGCGCATATTAGTCACCCGAGGGATTGGTTATGCAAGTTCTAGGGGGGGCCATGTATCTCAACTGAACTGGGATGAGCAAATATGACTCAAGAAATTGCTGCCGATCCATATTTCTTGATTCAATCGAATGATGAGAGTTTGGGTTCTTGGTTGCACTAACTGTCAAGAACATTATAGATATGATGCTATCACTGCATTTCTTGGTTTGCAGTCTACCAATGAGAAACAACCCTTTATTCTAGACCGTTTTATCTTATACGAGACAAAGCGGCCCATGGCGTGGTTTTGGGACAAACACTGGTTTTCTGCAGATGAACAAACAGGGGTTAAACATGTTGGTTCCAGGATATATCACATTTCACAGATTTGAACGTTACAATTGGTTTGCCGTTCCGCTTTTTATCTCCTCTAATAGCAGGTCATATGCAAACGTACCATGAGCCTGTAGCTTGCGGACGAAGCATAAGGATAGATCCTCCCCGAGTGATTAAAAGATCCTTGAATCGCCACACCAACGGAATTGATTCCCCAGCTCACCCTTTTCTCTCTTTTCCCTGCTACCAACAACATGGTACCCTCGGATATCATCAAACGCATGCAGGATGCGGCTGCATCACATGACAAGCAGGAGCTTGGGGCCAGAGAGACTCTTCTCGACCTCAACCGCCAACTTCTCGCCGAGTTAGAAACTCCAACTGATTTTATACAGCGTATTTGGTTTGCAACTGTGCGCAGCACTTTACTGACCAGTGCCCTGTTGCTGATTTAAGTAGGCTTCTCTGGGTGGTTGTCTTGAAGTAGCAGCCAACAAGAAAATCTTTCAACTTCTGCGAGAAGCCGAGAATGGGCTCACCACCGAAACACTCTCTGAGAAGACCGGCATCGCTGGGCCCTTGCTGAAGCGTTTCATGAGACATTTTGTCGCTCATAAAGTTGTCCGTTTCTCCAAGTCTACAGGCTGGCACGCCACAGCGCTTTCCAACACACTCGCACTGGAGAATTACCAGCATAGCATATCTTTTTGTCAACGTGCAGCAGCAAAGTCATTCTGCCACTTCCCGGAACACTTTAAGCAGGCCAACTATCAGCACCCTGGACTAACAGACGGTCCTTACCAATATGCTCATAACTCGTCATTGCCTTTCTTCGACTGGCTGGCAGCAAATCCTCCTTTTGTCAACTTATTTGGATCCTTCATGTCTGTGTATAGAGCTGGAAACACAGACTGGTGGACTTTCTACCCTGTTGAAGAGCGTCTCTCTTCTGGCTTTGATAAGACCATCAGTGATGTGCTTCTTGTTGACGTAGGAGGTGGCCGTGGCCATGACCTGTTATCTTTCTCAAATGGTACTAAACCACCAGGCCGGTTGATACTCCAGGATCTTCCAGAAGTCATAGCAGATGTGACCGAGAAATCAGCCTTTGAGACCCAAACACACGACTTCTTCACTCCCCAACAAGTTCAACACGCACGAACCTATTTCTTGCACTCTATTCTACACGATTGGAGAGCCGAGAATGGAGTGCAGATTCTCAAGAACCTGAAGCCGGCACTGAAACCTGGGTATTCCAAAGTTCTCATCAACGAGATAGTTTTGTCTGAGGAGAACCCTTCTGTGCCTGCTACGAGTATGGATATGATGATGCTGGGACATATTGGCGGGGCCTGTGAGCGTACCGAAGAGGCTTTTAGAGCGATTGTGACAGAGGCAGGACTTGAAGTTGTTGATATTTACTCCAATGCTGCTTCTCCAGAGAGTGTCATTGAAGTCATGCTACCTTGTTCCGACAGGACACTTGAAGAGAGAAAACTCTAAGAACTCATATTTCGTATTGAATTGCTGCAGTTCCTGGATGTCTAGATTAGTTTTATTTTTGACAGTGCTGACATAATAGAAGTGAGATTTAAATCTTTGCCTGACAATGCTTCTTTCCTTCCTATGACAGCAAGTGACAGCAGAGACACGACCCTGTGCCAACATGTCTCTTCAAAGCTCTTGATAATAGATGTTTGGCCAACAAGTAAGACGAATGAGTGTAGAGTAACTGCATAGTGGGTGAGCCAATAGGAAGATATTCAAGTTGCTGTCAGCCAAACATTCCTCGGCCTATCATAAGCTCAATGAGCGTCAGGGAACACAAATACTGTACGTACATAACAGAGTAACTACGGAAGGCTCGGTAAGTCAATCAGATTACGAGGGTTCTTTAATAAGCGCAGTAATAGCATAATCATTGACTCCGAGTTGTCCGCTAAGCGAAAGATAGAGTTTGCAACGGCGTCGAAAAGCCATACAGATCGACTATCCACCAAGGAGATTACAGTATTTCGACTAGGATATCCCAGCATAGCGTTTTTTTTTTCAAATGACATTACTATGCTCCCTAGTTTAGAGTTTCCATTGACAGCCGTGCTCTTCGGCAGTTGAGCATTGACTGGGGTTAGTTAGCCCATCTCGTATTACAGCTTAGACCACCAATTAAAATATATAATGCCTCTACAGCCCCTGACTTACGGTTGAGAGAATCAGCAATCGACTCAAAATGTTGTTCAAACAACTGCTCGCTTTTGGAGCTCTCGCCAACGGTCTGGCTACCCGTCAGGAGAAGCCAATTTGGCTGACACTCCCACCCACGCCAGAATTGCCAACACCTATCAACTACAGGACAACTCCAATCAACAATGTTTCTCTCTGGATGCAGGAGTACAACAAGAAACCAGATGCTATTCCTATCGTTATGGATCATGGTGGTCTAGGTTACTCTGCATACTTTGGATCCGTCATCTCTCGTCTTATTAAGCACGGATACTATGTCATCGCCTTAGATCGTCGAGGCCACGGTCGCTCAACTTTCAACAAGAACGATGTCTTTACCTATGAAGGATTTGCTCAAGATACCAATGATCTACTGAAGCGCCATGGTATATTCGAGTACAACGTCGTTGGCTGGTCTGATGGTGCTATCACAACTCTCGCTGCACTCATCGACCCTGTCATGTCAGAACCCATCAAGAAGGCATTTATCTTTGGAGGATCAGCCAACCCCGAGCAGACCAACTCCACATTCTCAAGCACAGAAATCTTCTCGGAGTTTGTCTCTCGCTGCCGTACTGAGTATGGCCAGCTACAGCCTCACGCCAACTTCACTCTCTTTGGCAGCAAGGTCGCCACGATGGAGGCTACACTTCCCCAGTTCACGGATGAGCAGCTTGGATCTATCGATGGACCGAGAGTTATTGTTGTTGGGGCTGAGCATGAGGAAGCTGTAAACAGGGATGTACCGGAGAAGTTGCACAAGGCTATCAATGGTAGTCACATCGAGATCTTGACTGGAGTGAGTCACTTTGCGCCGCTTCAGGATCCTGATCAGTTCACAAAGGCTGTTGAGGAGTGGTTTGAAACACCAATCCCCTGATTCTAGAGGTCAATTATACTGCAGCAGTAGTTTAGAAACGGAAAGGAGGTGTGAGCAGACTTCTCTCTTCATGTATATATATGCATATTCAATACATAGCAATATGAGAATTACCTCATTCTGGTCGAGCTGTTGCATCTAAACTTGTCATGATGCCAAGAGCAATTCTGTGAACACGGGATTGTTCCTCATGTTATGATCGTGAATTTTAATCTCATGATACATTAAATCTACATACGAGGTATTCTCAACTCAATCATACAAGCCGTCATTGCAAAGCTGATATCCATTCCCAACCTCTTCGCCAAAACACCCATTCTCATTACAACATCACACCAACACACCATCTCACTTAACCGACAACAGCAGTCTGCCGTCTCGCTTGGCTGTTACCACCAGCCTTCTTCTGAGTACCAGGTCGTGCGAGCGTGTACTTGGCGAACGCCCTCGCGAGAGCCTTCTTGCAACTAACTTTCTGGCTACCCACGAAGCTGTCCACTGTGACGGCGATGGCGCGGTCGATGTCTTGTGATGAGCAGTATTCTGAGAGGCGCATGCGGCAGAAAGCTTCGCTGATGCGGATGATGGCTTCAAGATGTCGCACCTAAGATTGTTAGTATTTGGTGCTGTGTAGACATGGCAGGTGAAGACTTACTGTAATGGGATAGGCGCCAGTCGCAAGAGACTCTCGTCTCATGTCTGCAAAGAGTCGTGCAATCTTGTCCTCATCGATATGGTAGAGTTTTGGTGAACAATGCTCTCGTGCGTAGAGGATATACTTCCTTAGCAACTCTTGAGGGATATCACCCTCAGCCTTTCGAGCCCCGTTGGTGGCTTGTGTCTCAGCTTGGGTGTCATGCTCAACCTCCATCGAGTCCTGCTCAGTTTGGCTGAGAGGGTGACTTCGGCTATGTGATCCGACGATGAATCGGGCAAGACGCTCATCCTCTTCAGGCTCAACAGTGTCTCGCACCACACACAGGATGTCGAAACGCGACAAGATAGGTTCTGTCAACTCGACATTGGCAGAGAAAGGAGCAGTGGAGTTGTATCGTCCACCGATAGGATTGGCGGCAGCAATGACACCACATCGAGCTTGCAGGGTGGTGACAATACCGGCCTTGGAGATGGAGATGGTCTGCTGTTCCATGGCTTCGTGGATAGATGTTCGATCTTGGTCGTTCATCTTGTCAAACTCGTCAATGAGACAAGTTCCACGATCAGCCAACACCAGAGCACCACCTTCCAATGTCCATTCACTGGTGAGAGGATCTCTTCGGACACTGGCCGTCAAACCAACAGCACTGGCACCTTGCCCTGTAGCAAACACAGCTCGGTGGGCTGTCTTCTCGGCATACTTGAGAACCTGGGACTTAGCTGTACCAGGATCACCGAGGAGAAGCACGTTGATGTCGCCGCGGAGGTGATGAGCACCCTTGGTGACCTTCGCAACGCCGCCGAAAAGCGACAAAGCCACGGCGGTCTTGATGTCAGTATGTCCGTAGATACTGGGTGCTATCGAGTTGATAATCTTGTCCACGATGTTAGGGTCGCGGGATAGCTTGCGAATTGTGTGCTCATCTTCCTCAGTCATTCGGAAACCAGCCAGCTGGTCATGAGACTTGACAACGTTGTTTGCCTCAAGGATTGTAGCAAAAACAGGGAAGCCATTGCGGTTGTTGAGCTGAGCATCATAGTTGTTGCGGTAGATTCCAGTCACTTCAATCTCCTCACCGGGCTTGGCCTTGTCAATGAGATCCCAGAGAAGGATAACCTCGCGAGATCGTGGCAATCGACCGGCAGGTACTGTTCCAGGAGATTCTTGGAGTGTGAGTTTCTGGTAATTTCGGTAGACGGTCTTCTCGGAGTTGAGAGTGAAAGGACCCCGCGACTGGCAACTTTGGCAAAATGTGATCTTGACTTCAACGTTTGACTCTTGCTGGAAAGGTCCAAGAGTCACACCACACTTGCTGCAGTCGAACTTGACGTACTTGAGCTGAGGGAAGACACCCGATCGTCGGGTAACGACACCGCTGACTCGAACAAGACAGTTGAGATGAGACTGGCGGAGTTGTCGAAGTGTGTAGTGTACAGGCAGATCGAAGATACGAACGTGAATCTCGGCGTGAATGCGCTCGTAATCGGGGTAGTGAAGCAGAACAACGTCCATGGCAACCTCGTCAAACAACTTGATCATCTCTTGAGGCGCATTGGCCAAGAAGTAAGCCAGAATGGCCTTGCTTTCGGAGAGGTGTTCGTATGAGACCTCAAGAGACTCGGCGTTGATCTCACCGAGTGTTCGAATTCGGTTGCCATACACGGATGAACCAGAGCTATCGGTGTAGGATGTGAGGAAAGCCTTGAACTCGCGTCTGATGGTTCGTTGGACTGAGGGCTGCGACACCCACTCGGTAAGGTTGGAAGCCTTGACATCAGCAAGTGCTTCGAGGGAGAGTTCCTCGGCCATGATGTCGGTGTCCATAAGGTCGTCGGGATCTTCATCGTAATGGTGACGGCGACGCCGGGGCTGAGCTGTGAGATCAATATCGCCATCATCTTCATCGCCATCGAGATAAATATTAGGCATTTCCCGTCTGACAGCCTGATCTCTTCGGTTGAGCTGAGCTTCTAGCCGACGTCGATCGGCAAGGTTCATCTCGTCATAATCACCCTCATCGTCAATACCAATGCCTTCGTACATGTCATTCTCTCTATCTTGGTAATCGGCCTCGTAGCCTTCACGGAACAGATCGACGTCGTCTTCTGCCATTTCGTCGAGCTCATCAATATCGTCTTGGATCTGGGCCTCTTCCTCGATGTCATCATCGTCCTCGACACCATGTGCCATGCTGAACTCTGCAGGGGGTGAAGAAGGCATGGGACTTGAGCCGAAGCCTGCTGGTGAAGGGCCATCGCTTCCTCCTGTTCGTGATCGCTTTCTATTCGGACGAGCCGAAGATGGGTGTAGCGGGGAACTTGAAGTGGTCAGCTTTTTTTATTTTCTCGGATAGTGGTGAGTTACGCCCTGGGAAGACAAACCTCATGGTTGCAACTCTTCAAAGATATCTAGATTTGGTGATATCGTGATAGAGTATCTGAGTAATTCTGAAGACCAAAAGTTCGGTTTGAACTGAAAGTGTCACGATTGAGGGGCTCAATTTGTGGTGATGGTTGGAAGGGAAACGACAGCATGAAAGTGGGTGCAGTTGACAAGGGGTAATCTCGCGTATCAAGGCGCGACTTGACGCATTAATTGATTGGTACTGACGCGCCACGCGTAAAGTGGTTTCCTTAGAGCGACAGAATTACTCGACCTATGCCTCACCATAAGGCCACTGAGTATCGCTCGCGTTATTATAACACCTTACAAGCTTCGCAACCTCCAACTCGAGCTGTACTGTCGCACTGTCGATAGCTTACCCTTCTCCTCATCTTGTACTTGTACAAGTATCAAACCTTGCATCACCCATCAATTCTGACAAATCCGTCATCCGATCATTTAATTGCCACCTTTCATCTGTTTCTTTGTTTTCCACATTTATCTTCAATACTCGAGAACTTACGATTTAATCCATCGCAATCATGTCTGCAGACGCTCCCTCGGCCTCTGCGCCCGCGCAAGATGCGCCTCAACAGCAATCTCGAGGGCGCAAGGATAGTTTTTCTGGAAAATCGCAAACTTCGGAGACATCGCAAACTGCTGCCGAGTAGGATGCCAATTACTCTGAACCTGTGATTGTACTCTAACAATTCTTAGGTTTATTCGATCTCAGGAAGCTCTTGAAGCTGATGCCCGCGAGGCTCTGCCTTACGTATGTTTCCACTCTTCTCCCAATCGTGGCATGCGCTTACGATTCTCTAGAGCATTGATACATGCACCAAAATCCTCGGCCCTCTGCGACAAGCTGTCTTCGCCTGCTTGACTTGCAATCCTCCCCCAGCGAAAGAAGGCGACGACTGGACCCCCGCAGGTGTCTGCTATGCCTGTTCCATTCAATGTCACGGTGAACACACCCTCGTCGAGATATTCCAGAAGCGCAACTTCACATGTGACTGCGGTACCAAGCGAATTCCTTCAACAAGCCCATGCACTCTTCGATTGAACGAAGCCACCAACACTCGAGGCGGGGTTCACTGCGAGGAGCCCGACGTGAACAACAAGTACAATCACAACTTCCGCAATAGATTCTGCGGTTGTGAGTGCGACTATGATCCATTCCAACAGAAGGGTACAATGTTCCAGTGTCTGGGTCTGGGAACAACTGAAACAGGTGGATGCGGCGAAGACTGGTATCATCCAGGATGTCTTGTTGGCATGGGACCTAACTGGTTCGAGATGATGGAGAAGCCTAAAAAGGCGACTAAAGAGAATGCTGGCGAAGGCAAGCTGATGACGATCACCGAGGGTAACGAAGAGGGGCAACAGAATTCTGCTGAGAAGCCTGGAGAGACGAACGGTACTGCCCACCCTGCTGCTGAGGAAGACGATGACGATGAAGACGTCCCCATGCCTCCTGGATTTCCCGAGGAAGATGCCTTCGAAGCCTTCCTCTGTTACAAGTGTGTTGAAGCGCATCCCTGGATCAAGCGCTACGCTGGTACTTCAGGCTTTCTTCCAGCAGTCTTCGTTAACCAAGCCGACCCCAAGACAAAGGTCGAGGCTGGCCCTGTCAAAGAGGAGTCTTCTGCTACTACTGGGCAAACCCCTACCAACGAGCCCGCTCAGGACTCACGAAAGCGCAAGGCCGAAGATGATGCCGAGGAGTCTACAGAAGCTAAGCGTGTCAAGAGCGAGTCCCTACCTGAAGATGCAAAGCCCGCGGAGACATCATCAACAGATACACTCCCATGTAAGCTGAACAACCTCCCTCCTGCCCCCCAGAGCCAGTTCTCGCTTTTCATGAAGGAAGACTTCCGCGATGCCTTCTGCCGCTGCTCATCCTGTTATCCCAACCTCAACCCTCACCCTCAACTCCTGGAAGAGGAAGAAGTCTATGAACCACCTCTGTCCGACAATGGCTCCCAAGCAGGCGGCAACGGTGGTGGTTCACATGGTAGTGGCAGTCTTCTCGAGCGTGGTGAGAGCGCACTTCGCAACGTCGACCGCGTGCGGGCCATTGAGGGTGTTATGGCGTACAACCACCTTAAGGAGCGACTCAAGCCATTCTTCCAGCAGTTCGCTGAGAGCGGGCAAGCCATTGGTGCTGAAGATATCAAAGCATACTTTGCCAAGCTGAGAGGTGATGAGCAGGGTATGCAGGAGGCAGCTGCTGGAGCCAAGGATGGTGAGGGAGGTGATAACGGTGATGGCGATCAGCGAAAGGAGCAGAGCGGTTATTAACCATTTGGATGTGGGACATGAACATGATATTGATGCTATAAGGGTGAGCGGGGAGTTGACCGGACTGGATACACGGTTGGGTTGTTTGGTGTAAGAGTAGTGTACAGTACAGGCGGCATACCATAATTTGATACCGGAAATGGGGTTACAAAAGATAGTCCGAGACAATATTTGATTGAAATACAGTCTCTCTTTTTAAGTCTCTAGCTATGGTCATAACCACATACATATTGGGCATTTTGAACTAAGCAAAATACCACTTCATTCATTCATCATGAGTCCCAACTCTCAAGCAAGCCGACATGACCTTTTTCTAATACATAAAATCCATTTATTCCTATAGTACATATCCATTCATGTCTTGGGTATCGCTAAATCAAAACATTGCCATTTTTTCAAGTCGTCTCCGTGCCCTTCAAAACGCCCCCTTACTGCCCCGTCGACCCCGTACTTGACGCCGCACTTGACGGACGAGGTGGAAGCGCAGGTACACCATGCGAAGCCCCCGAGTCCTCTCTCTGCATCGGAATACCTCCCATCATGCCCATCCCAATCCCCATACCCGGCAGCGGCAGCTGAGGCGGCGGACCTTGCCCATCACTATCCTCCGCCTGACTGTCCAGCTGCTCCTGCGCCGCCTTAAGGTCCAGTTCGTGCAGCCTTTGCTTTTCAGCGGGGTCGATAATATCATCATCGTCACTCCAGTAAGGATCATCATCGTCGAGTTCAGGCATAGCCATGCGCTTCCAGAACCGCAGTTCCTGACGATGCGCCTTCTCATCGACGAGCTTGTTCCAGCGACCTTCATCCTCGTCGTACTTGCGCCGGTACTCGCGAAGGCTTTCGTTGGCGCGACCTGCGTGCGCTTGCATCTGCCAGATCTGTTCGCGGAGACGGGCGTTCTCGTCCCGTGCCTCGGCGAGTTGCTTGCGGTAGGAGCGGTGCCAGGCTGCTACGTCGCTGACGTGCTTGGTCTTGTACTCGTGGAATTGTCGAAGGAGGTTTGCCATGGCGTTGGCGTATTGCGAGAGGAGTTTGGCGTTGGCGTCACGGCTGAACTTTGCCTTTTCGAGGGATTCTGTGAGGAGGGATACGAGAGCGTCGATGTTTTGTTCTTGGCCTGGCATTTGTTAGCTGTGATTCAGTGGGTGTAAGATCGGGCACATACCATTTATATCATCGGCCGCATTTTCAATGACTTGTGAATTGCTGACCCCCTGTGCCCTCGCCCTGTTCCTCACTCTTCCCAAACCATTAACAATATCCTCTGTAACTCTTCGGTTCTCTGCAAGTTGGCGGCTAAGTTCCTCAACCATACCATAGATGTAGTTAAGTTCAGCCTGGTGGCCCGCAGGCGTAGGAACAGGCATCCCAGCAGCCATGTTCGTCCCATTCATACCATTCATCATAGCGATCTGCTGCTGCTGCCACTGATGCTGCGGTTGCGGGGAGTACTGCTGTTGCTGCTGCTGTTGGTACTGTTGTTGCTGGTGGTGACGCGTCGTAGACGTTGGAGATGGCGCAGGCGCGGGAGAAGAAGGTGAGGATAGAGATGGATCGTGGGGGTTCGGGCTTGGAGGCGCTTGAAAGCTCATGTCTTGTCCACTCGGGAACCTGGGTCTCGAGCGTTTGGAGGATGGTGTTGGTTGTCTTTAGCCTTGTTTGTGGATGGAGCTAGATGCTTGATTTGGTATAGCCTAGCGGTTCTCCCCCTCAGCGTTGCGACACTTCACCAGCATTCGGAGGGGCGCAAAATTATTTTACCGATAACGGTGGACCTTGATTGACAACGATTGAAGAAAACCCCTGAACAAAAGATTGATAGAAAATGGAGTCATTTTATAAGACGAGTAATAAACAAACTCAATTGATTATATCTAGGAATGACCTAACTTTAAAACATGGACCCTTATATCCAGGAACATGCCATGGCACGTACTATGCAAAAGTAAGATCACTCATACTGGCAAGCTCATTTGATTGTCTCTTGTTTTGATCATTGACTTTTTGTATCCTTTTACATTTCTCATAACTTCAGCCAGATTGAACTCAATCCGTCAACGTAGTCTTCATGAGAAGTCATCTAAGCGAGTGACTGCTGAGCAAGGTAGCGACCGTCACTACTATAAGAAAGGAAAGCTGTATAAAATCTCAGGTCATTTACTTCGTTTCGTCATATCGTTGAGTGCATTGCACCGGATTCGTAACATGGGTCCTGTAGTCAGTCACCAAGCGCCAATTTTTTCTTTCACTCTGGAGTGTCAACCTCCATCCTGTCTTCTGAAGGCTTTATATCCACGATCAAGGATTCTTCCGTCGGCTGTGAGGGTTCCAGTGTCGACGTCGATGTCATGGTCGACTCTTTATGTTCAAAAACAGGGGGAACAGCTGCGCCGCTGCCACTCGTACCCCCAGTAACCCCGCCGCCTCCCATACCGTTGCTTGCCGACAACCGGTATTCGCCATCAGGCTTACGCTCAATGATACCCTCATCTAGTGCCCACTGGGCCAGGAGGCCATCGACTCCAAGTCTGCCACCTTCGCCTTTCTCCATGTGCCGGCCAACGTGTTCAGTCCATTCGTCCCAGGATGATGGGCCTTCGAAGATGCTTTGGCAGCCTTGCTTCGGGCATGCTGAGCGCTGCGGTGGCAATCGACGCTGAACGAGGCAAGACACTTGCATGTCCTTCACGTGCGTATCCCACTCAGATTGTAGTTTACTATCGCCCTTAGCAATCGCTCTCTTGATCTGAAAAGGTGCATGCATTCGTCGTAAGTGTTGAGTGAACAGGTCTTTGCGATTGAACTCGTTGCCCTTGCCTTCGGCCGTGCTCTGGGGGCAGGATGAACAACGATAGTACTGTAGACAAAGATGTTGAGATGCAATATGTCGCTTCCATTCGTTCTTCGAGCCAAAAGTGCTGGTACAGCCGGCGAATGAGAACGCACATGGGAACGGCCTTGTATGTGCCGCAGCAATGTGTTTCCTCAATGAAGATGAATCCTTGAAAGGAGCATGACTGCAGTGGTTACAACGTGTGTCCTGCTTAGGGAGCGACCGTCGTGGCGGCTTGGCTGCTGCATTGGCATTGCGAAGTGTTGCCAAAGGATCATCATTACCATGCTCCTCAGTCTCGCCTTCGGGCCTTATGTCAGGCATTCCGTCAGGAAGAATCGTGCGCGGCCTGTTGATATTTTGAGTTTCGTCGCTTCGGTGCCGAACATGGCTCAAGGCTTTCAGTTGCTCAGCAGCTTCCTGCATCTCCGCAGAGTCCTCCACTTCGTCTTTGGGTTTGCCATGTCCACCTGCCGGGTTCGCATACGATGGGGCCGAAGGACTAGTATGTGGTAGATGCTCCTTTCGCTCTACGGAATTGGGTGTTTCCCTCACGGCCGGGGAATGGAAAGTGATATCATGGCCCTCATCTCGTCGAACACGTGCAGGCGTTCCATATGCGTGGTCTCTTGCCTCCAGAAGAATTCGCCCATCTTCGACTTCTCTTGCAGATGGCTTGATACCAGAAGAACCTACAAGTCTGTGATACAAGTGAATCATGTTGTGAGAGCTTATGTATCCCAAAAAGCAACAGACTTTGTCATGCTGCACCACATTCCAAATGGAGTGGGGCATGGAGATAAGGAGCATGGTAGGTGGTCCAAGGAACATGCCTTCCACTGCGATTTTATCACCAAGAGGCGGTGTGCTTTGTAGCCATTGGGAGAAAAAGGACATATCTGGGCTAGCATCACCAACAAAAGTCGTACAGACGAGGACACGGTGCTCTTCAAACCTGAGGTCAACAACTGACTCTGGGTCAATGAGCTGTTCTTCGCGGTTCCCTTGACTCTCTGCGTCGATTCCATTCTGTGATCCTGAGCGAGGTCTCGAGGGCATTGGCGCAAGAGCAATACTATGGCCTTTTCCGGGTGTCAGGGGCATGAAAACCGGATGATGTGGAGACGAATGCGTATTCGAGGTACTGCCATTTGTTTGTCGGGGAGTCTGAACCAGTTGCTGTTGCTTCAGCGATAACACTTCCTCGTGGAGCTTCTGTGTCGTAAAGGGGCGTCCGCTGCTGAGCTTTTGTAGGGCCTCGACCAAATTTGACGTAAAGGAGCGTTCTGTGCTGTCTGGGCTGCGATCGGATGTGCAAGCTGCTATGGCTTGCTTCACGCCGTGACTACCAGCCATGGGAGGATCTGGTACCGTGCATGTGTCCAGCAACAAGAGGATATCGGACTGGGCATCCTCAAACAGGCAACGGACGCCATCCCACTTGAGTTTTGCAGCATCTTCTCGTGCATTACTATGGGAAAGCTGTCAGAGGCAGGAGGAAGATGACATTCGAGAAATGTTCGACTCACCAAGCCCAAAATAGCTGGCCATCAGAGCTTACGTAGCCCTGGCCAGCATAGTAGATAATGAGCAGATGATTGGTTCTTGCGTTCTCGAGAAAAGAAGCAATCTGAACTCCAAGCTTGATGCTAGGGTTCGGTACTGTGGGAATGTGCCATCGCTCAGTTCGGTATTTGTAGTGCTTCTGAAACACTTGCTCAAGTGCAGCCAGGTCTTCGTCAACAGACTCGTCTTCTTCCCACCTTAATAGTAACACAGAAACGTCAGTGTATGGGTGACGTTCGGTCTGTCTCTGGATCAGCATAGCAGCATCCTGTAGATGCCGTGCAAAAGACTCAAAGTCATGTCTTTCGGAAAGAGGAGCTGCGGCCTCCTGAGCTGGATAATGTTGTTGAGGCTATATCCAGAGCCCGGGTTAGCAAGAAGACGCGGAAAGCTGGAAATTAAAGCTGACCGATTCGTGAGGGAATTGTGTTGGCGGCGGCGGCTTGCTAGGAGTCGTGTTGACCTTAGGAGCCAGCTTTCGCTTTTTACTCGAAGGTTCCATTGGGCAAGGCTGTGGGTCGATGTAGATGCGGTCGTCAGCAGGTTAAGCCGGCGGAGGTCATTGATCAATCGAGGACGAATCGGCCAAGGGCTCGAGCACGAAAGTTCCTGCTACCTAGTATTTGGTTAAGAATTGATACCGTCGTAGTTTCGGTATAATTGACGTCGAAGAGAAGTAAAAGAGACGGCGGAACAAATATATACGGCCAGACGAGGGGAATTGAAATCGAACGATGTGCGAAAAAGTCTCGGCTGATGAGGTCAGAAGGAGGGAC